AGTGAAGACGGGTGATTTTCCACAAGGAGCTGCGTATCAGCTAATAGTGACATTTCAATCACGGAGCCACAAGCTATTCTATAAATCGCTGTCTATAATTGCCGATGAACGGGAGTCTGAAGGAGGCAAGTGGACAAAACATTAAATAAAAGGAAGTCCTGCCCTAATGGTTCTTATATGACCGATGGCAAAGCCCTACCATGAGCTACGAACTTAATTGGGCAACTAATATCACCCATTTTAGGGGGGGGGGGGAAGTTCATATCACAGACCATACCACCTTTGTGTAAACAGGTATATCGATGTATAGACACATGAAAAACAATGGAGTAACGACTGTTTGACCATAATCTTTTATGGACAAACGTAAGAGACATTCTTATAGTGATAACGTATAAGCATTTTCCAGAGTATGACTCTATAGTAAAGCTTCGCTTAGGATTATAGAAATGATGCTTGAAAAGTTATTTGGTCCAAACTGACATTCTATGTAATTTGTAAGCCTTAGGTTTTGAAAAGATTGCGCTGATTCAAGACCCATAAAAATGTTTGGAACTATACCACTGCAATAAACAAAGTGTACAATCCCTTATTGTTATTTCACTTTTAATTTCGGTTAAAAATTACAAACCCGACATTACTTTCGATATGATTCGGTCCTATAGACCACGTCTGCCCTCCATTTGGCACTATCCTCTTGTATGTACTCATACTTCAACAGGCGACGTTGCACCACAATAGCTTGCTTTCTTTTAACCACCCCTGCACTGATGATGTCAGAAACTACTTTAAAACTTGTCAATTAATTATCTGAATGCACCCATAAACAGGCTGTCAGATTATTCATGTTTTTGGATTGCTCTCTGCTCAATTTTCGGATTTTTGCTTAACGACTTATGGAAGAAGTTGAGAAGTAGACCGCCTTATGATTATAGCATCAATAGGAAAGAGCGCTGAAAAGTGATTGGCTCTTCTGTTGGACAAATCAGAAGGAGAGCAAAAAAGTACTCATTTGAAACAATCGCCTCCACTCACTATAATAACATCTTCCATAAATACGATTCAAAAACGTATACTTTCAACCTTAATAGTAAAATTTGGTAGAATAGATGGTGCCTCGTACAATAATGAATTTAAGTTAGTATAATCTAGAAAGCCAAATGAATAAAATATCACATTAGACCTAATGCGTACGTAATTGTCACGCATTGAGCGGTCTAAATAGTACCTAGAAAACATCCTTTTCGCATATTTCTGTTGCGGTTGAGGAAAGGCTGACGAAATTATTAGTAAAAAAATATAACCCGAGGATTGCTTGTGGTGGTATGCATGCAAATGAAGCGGATTCGGTTAGCTTGGACTCCATCGAAATTGACAAAGCGAGTGGTTGGTAAATTGCTGTCAGCCATAAAGATTTATGTGTTCGTTGTAGTGAGGCAAAAAAACATTTGACGCCTGAAATTTAAAAAGACGCAAATTTACCTGATCTTTAAAGGAAAGGATGGGTGTATAAATTGGCCTTCCAACTAGCCCACTGGTAAAGCTATCATTGTCGTAAGAATAATAATAAGGCAGTAAACGAGGCCCGATGGGAAAATCCAGTAAAACGTACGAAATTAAGTTAGTGTCGATGCCAAATCCCTTGCTTTAAAAAGTGAATTCATCAAGCAAAACTACTAAAATAGGCAACATTGCAAGATTTAACCATCCTCCTCTCGCAATCCAATCCTTTGTTTCTGTTCTAGCAGAGTAATAATTTAAGTGTTCAGCGTGGACACATTTGAGTTTGGAAATACCAACGTTCATAATCACGCATGTATTGTAGGACATCAGCATTTCTTATTTGAACACATTAAAAATTTTAGTAATGCAGTAATTAATGCATCCCGTGTGCATCAAAACGACAAAAATTTGGCGAGTATGGATGAACGTATGATCCCAAAAGCCAAAAAAAGGCTACTACCATTCCATAAGCATAGTTGGGGTAGACACTACCTTTATATCACAATGATAGGGCAATTTATAATACATTGCTCAAGAATTCACCTTCCACGGGGGGGGGGGCTTTTTGATTGCTCAAATGCAACGACGCTCTGAATGTTCAATGAAAAAAATTTAACAAGGTGCGTGAGGAAGTTCCGCGGCATTTTTACTCAAGACGCAGGAATCTCGATTTCATCCCTGTGAATATCGGCCAATGCGATACGGCAAGTGGGTTTCCTGTGTTTCTTACAATTAAAAGTGGCATTACTCATTGTAAGGTCAACAAGAGACACCGCGGCACATAATGAGCGAGTTATGTGAAAACCGATATTGTGGACAAAGAGAAGTACAGTGAGGGTGGAACATGTATCTAACCCGAAACGATTTAAAAACTGACCCCATCTTTATATGTCTCCGTCCTTTCTTGTTATCATTGCCTAAAACTGATTTCAAAAACCTAGATTTGACAATAATTAAGCATGTTCAAGATCAAAATCGAATGCTATAACTACTATTTACGTAATTAAAGTGGCATAGCACCCGATGTTGAAACCGCATGGAAGCTTCGCCAAGAGGTTTGGCTTACCAAACCTTTATATTACACGCATTACAATGCACACTTTAAATCGCAGATGATACGGTTTGTTATGGAACGCTTTTTGGTTACTGTCTCTGATGGAATAGTTTTGAGCGCTAATATGCTTGACTGACGTGACATCACGATATCCTTCCTACCCTCATAGGCTATTGGCAAAAAAATAAAGCAACTGCAGCCATGAAATCGCTTCAATCTTCAGTTGATATCGTCTTTAAACAGGGAATGGCTGTAAACGGCACACCGTTAATCCTTCAACTTCATAAATGCTAGCCTTCTTTGTAATCATGGGTGTTCAATAATTACGGACAAAAGCGCCATGCAGTGTGGTCAACGGTCAATGCTTGCCGTCGTATTTTAAGCCTTTTTTTACATAAATCACTTCACTATGTGGATATCACCGTTTCAAGTTACAATTCAAAATGCAAGTTGGTTGGGGTACCGGAAGCTCACTAAATGACAGCATTAAAATCTCAGTTGCTGCTTATGTTGTACGCAAGCATAAATTACATTATGGCCTCTTCTCAAGCAAAATACATGCAACAAAATCCGATTCTCCTACTAAAAGTAGGAGTTATAAAACCCTTATGCCTTTTTTTGGTGATTTCAACTTCTGGATCTGTGAAATTCTTCACTCTGTTTTAAGTAATACACTGTAAAAGATGGGAAAGTTTAAATTGCGATCTATGTGCAATTGCGCCATCGTTGGTTGGGCAAGGGCGGTTCTCATCCTTGATCTTTGCACCCGAGACGTCAGTCCTACAGCCTGCACCCAAAAAATTGCAGACTATTTTCGAATATTTAATACATTGTGCTAACAATGTCTGGGAGCCACGTTATTTACCATAGCTTCAAATCAGGTTCTAAGCAGAGCCTCTCATCAGCCCTTGAGAATGAAACGGGCCTATCCACTGATAAAAAAACTAGAATAACTAAAACAACCATCTCATCTACATAGTCGTCACTTCCTTGAAAACGGTCATGGCTTTAAGGAAATTGAAAGCAATAACACTAGTCCAGCAACACAACGTTTCATAACTATTGACAGTCAAGTTTTGTTTGGATCGGTAGGCTTAACTAATAATAACTCTTTCGACCGCAAACACGATATTCGCTCCCTTGGATCAACTTCAATAGACGTATATAAAACAACCCCTTAATGTAGCGATGCTTTCCATCATATTCTGGAATCTGAAAACAGTCATCTGAGCCACTTATTATGAATCCACTTAATTGTTCCTCCCAAGACATCCTCAAACAATTCTTGGCTGTACTAAAATGAAGGCATCCCCGGTAAAGCTGTTTTAGTGACCAAAGCCGCAAATTTAGCTTGTGTTTTCCAAAAAAAACTGACTGAGGTAGTGTCTCATTTTCCAGAGGAGTTTTGCTCTTATCAATGCGACTATTAAGTCAATAGGTAGATTAAATACGGTCTAGGCATCGTGATCAACATCAGTAGCACCAAAAATGCTGCCTTTAAAATGCAATATAGGTAGTCCCACTAATTCCTGAATATAGCATAGCCTGTATTGTTTTCGGAGCAGTTCCACCTGGGCAGTTTTTCGTGTAGCTTCGGCAATGGAATAAATGAACAGCTCCGACCCCTGGTGAGGCGTCATTTTAATACCTGGAGAAAGATTACGCAATACTAAGTGGCATTTGCCCATCACTATTAAGACAATCCATTGGAAGTTTTATTTGTGTTCAAAACCCTAATAAAAAAACAGACTGAATGAAACACAACGATGGAGAGGTTTGAACTGAAGACCCTCCCCCCAAAAAAAAAGTACCGCGTGAATACGTTTATGGCAATTGTAAACATCAAAACCGCAGGGAGTTTGTTACCTCACTGTGAACTAAGTGCAGTCTATGCCGAAATAAGTTGCTAAATAAAAAAATTGCTACAATTGGTCAAATTTTGTGCGAGTCGACTAGAACTACGACCCGCGTAAATTCAGAAAACCGCAAACCTTGCCACCGTAAATAAAGGCCAACAATTTGAAAACCTTGGGAAACACTCAGTAACAAGTGCTTCATGACAATTTAAAGTTCGATATTGAAATACAGCTGAAAAAAAGCCAATGCTTAACTAAAAGGTGTGCAAAGAATTCCTAAACACCATAACAACATCTACAGGGACTGATCTCATTTGAGCCATATTAAGTCTATCCATCAGCACAGCGGTGAGTACACATGGAAGAAAGGGTGCAGCAACATGCAGGCACCATTTACACATACACAGTACATCTGCAAATCCAATCAATACGTTTTTAGGACCTGTACAGGATGGCGTATTCAAAGTCTTTTGTTACAAAATGGACCCACGTAAGAAATAGAGCTAGCAACTAAATACACTTTCTCCATTTCTACCAGTGTGTGAGAGATTCTGATGCGAAATGCAGTAAAGAGCTCAATTCACAGAAGAGACCGAGCAGTAAAACAAGGGGATCGTAGGGGCATATTATAGTACGAAACCGAAAGCGGTTCTTACTGATCCGGTAATATTAGTCGCCACAGGCGTAAGGAGTGATTTCTAATAAGATGAGGTCAACTCACCGCTCAAGAGACCCAAATGCTGATTGGCGCTTGAATCCCTCCATGTGCTACCAAAAGAAAGCGATCTCTTGCGATGTTCTACACAATGCTAGACCACACACAACGTGGAAGGAGAAACCCTAAAACACCCCTCTAATTTGAAGCTATTTGGCTGAGAAAATTAACCTCCGTGGCAAACCAGTCACCCTTTCAAATTAAGGTAAAACTAGAAAACTAAAGATCATCCGAAAAGGTCGAAAAGCAGTACCGAGTCGACATCATTGAACCGCGGCGAATTGACAGATATTTTGCACGCGTATGTGAGTAAGTGGGCCTTTCCCACGTCCACCGATTTGACTTCCGTGCTGCATCACTACTCTCAGCTACCCTGTATACTAAGTTATTTTCAGAGTTCTAGGTGTTAGCGTCTCCTGGAGTCATCTGACGTCAATGCATCGTTTTGCCCTGCCTTATTCTATATCTGAACAGTTAAAATCGTATAGCGGACGACACGACTAAAGAATCATGTAATAGTTGATTTCGTAAGGCACATTTCGGCCAATAATAAACTAATACCTTGGGTGTAGACATTGTACTTCGTTACTAAAAAAGTTCACCAAGACAGCGCTCGATACTCACCAACAGAGGAATTACCGTGGCAGAACGTGTATCAGACCAGAACAAGCAATTCGATTATTCGAATTCCTCATTGCATAATGCCTTAATACAATCACATCCACTCCCTTCCCAGAGGTAGCAATCAGTCGAGGCTAACCAAACCTCGTAATAGTATAGCCACAAACATCTACCACAAAGTGTATTCATTTGATCACATAAGTAGTGGAATTTCCAAAAACTGATGTAAGTTTTCTCAATTTGAAAAGTTCGGAGAATTACGTGCAGGTAACCGTCCACGTCAACGTTATCTTCAGGTATACATAAACCCATTAAAATGGTGAAAAGCCGACCATGCCAAATTTATCCAAGTATAAGGATACAACTGAGAGTTAAAAATTCATCTAAAGGTAGTTCAAAGAAAAAATAGCAAGCCTCCAGAGACAAATTTAAGGGTTAAAATAAGTAAGAAACAGCTAATATCGGGAAAAAAGAAAAGATCTACCCAAGAAAATGTCCAAAAATTTAGATTCAAATAGCAGCCTGCCAGTCGGCCTGATTTGTGAACTTGGGTGATCACATGAACCGAGAAAAAATGCTCCAGTTCACCGAATCTGTACACAAACACTGGATTCTAGGAAAATTATGGCATTAAGAGCAGAAAGTAGACACGAAACAGCCGAGAGCAGGTTAAGGAAATACCCAGAAGTTCATTCAAAACCGCAAAATTCCGTAGGGTTCATTATCCTCGAGGCAAACTAATTACATAATATAAGCGAGGAATCCTGCCTTGGTAGCAGCGTTCCAAATTGTTTAGGCTGTGTCCGTAGAACCTAATGCGACATCAATATCGGTGGCAAACGCCAGGAAAGAACTGTGTAGTCGACGACTCATAATAGTGAAGTACGCAAATAATACATTTGGACCTTCTGGGACGAAACCAAGGATGATTTACACCAATCCAACGCCGCATTACATTCAAGAAGCAACAAGTTGTGGCGCACAAGGTTCTGCCAAGACCAGTTGGAATAGACAACACCTAGAAAGAGTAAAACCTCAATTGGACCGGCCGGTCAACCAGCTCCAAGCTAGATGAACTTGTAGAGGCTCCAGGCATCACCGCACAAGAGGAAACTCCGCCTATGACCGACTGTAGCCGGCCGATACTTCCCAACATGCATTTCCACTAACCTTACATGCTTGTTTTCTACGCAATAAAGCAAGCAGGCTCCGTCCCACCCCTATCAAAGTGAAACTCCATCCTGTTAGTAAAAACCGTCCCATTGCCCGCCGAAAGCTGCGGTGACTGTGCAATCAGGGCCTAGTACGAAACACGTCAGTCTAGATCCGTTGTCAGAATATTTTAAGACAGACTAATGGAAGGAACGACTGTAGACGACCGCCCGCGCCCGTACACGGCGTCAACGGGCGCCACAGCTCACCCTCTAAACTAACCTAGGCAACATCCCTCTTCACACCGCCCTACCGCCTCAACACCGCGATCTCCAAGCGATAAAGGGGGGCACTCCTGCCTCCTACACGAGAGCTCATCTTTGAATGGCTCCGAGAAACAAACAGTGACTAGCGACACATCTTGTACTCCGACGACTCATTCGTCACCGCCTTCAATTAACAGAAATCCAGTAAATCAAAAACCTGGGTAAGCCAATCGACAACACTGATGAAAAGCTAGACAAACCACTTCATATTTCTGTGCCGCCGCCAAGGAGACTTCGGGCAACAAACTGATATGCAAAAAGGGATACCGAGTGCCCCTTGCTGCCGGAGGAAATCCTCTCCACAAGCACCAACTAGGTGATAATTTCATATAAACGGTAGCGAAATGTGTGGCAAACTGTAACAATTGACGACAATATTTGAAATACTACATTAAACACGAAGTTCAACCACTCTCACGAAAACACCCTAGCCCCGACCCTACTAAAATTGAATAAGTAAAACTTTTGTACGGCTGTCTTCGTAAACACTTAAGTCTGGGAGTAAAAGACCCAGATGACAATGCATGAAAAATTCCAGCTTAGAGTTGAAGACATTGTCAGTTCAAATACTTACCGCTGAATACAAAAGGTCGAATAATAAGTCACAAAACCGTTCTAAATGACACCTTGAAAAACCTATTATGTGTTGGCATTAAAGTGAGAGCAGTATTAAGGCATTCCCAGAATGTTTCATGTGAAAAAGCACCACTTGCAATATACAAACCAGCCCATGTATTTGTCCACACGCATTTCTTTCGAAAATGACCAACATTTAGGTTGAAAGATACTAAAGAGAGAATAAACGATTTAGGACCTCTTACCATGATGGCGTTAACGATATCGTTATTGTTCTTACGAAGCGCATTAACAGCCTTCGATCGGGAAACGTTAGCTTGCTCCATAATTAGCTCAATATCTTTGGCCTCAAGGCCAGTTTCATCGGCTTCTTCATCTTCAGATTCCTCCGCGATCGCACTCTTCGAGATTGACTCATCTTCCTTGGACTGATTGATCTCCTTCGTCACACCAGCAAGGGTTTGAGACCTCAGCTTCTCCACGGCAGCAGCCTGAGCTTGAGTCGACATATCCTCTATTTTTGCCTCGCCAAAAATGATGTACGTGTCAACGTTTTGAGCCTTGTATACTTCGGCGTTGCTAATGACAAACATGATAGCCTTAGCTTTGCGAATCGTGACCCGGCAGATGCCTGGAACGGGTTTCAAGTTAAGTTTCGACATAGCTTTACGCGCCTTTTTCTCGCTGCGTGATTGCTTGCTCGTGCTATCATCACCAGGGTCTGCCTTTTTATCTTCGACCAAATCGGGGGCGTCTTCCGAATCCGAAGCTGAAGTTGATACTTCATCTGCCTTTTTTTCAGCAGAAATTGACCCCTTCTGAACCTGTTTCTTCTGGCTGTTCTTATTGGTTGCCATCGCCTAGCACCACGTGAAGATTCACGAACAGGACAAGATACCGAAGATCACGACAGAAAACTTCCAAAAGCGCACAATGAGAGTCCAAACTATTGACTAAAACAAAAGATATCATTAGAAGAATTGACTCTAATGTGCTTAAATAAAACGCACCTGCTGTTCCTATATTTTTATTTTCTATTTTTCTCGCCATTACAAGGAATGTTGCACTTTGACATTTGTAAGACCAAATTTTAAGGTGCACAAAATCATTTAATGAACAGGAAAAAATTCATTATTTTTTCTTGTCTAAACTTGAAAAAGCAACTTAGAACGTTACTGCATCATAAAAAATAATGGTGCCATAATAGGATTAATTTCTGCGGAAATATGTAATTAACGGAATATATCGTAGCGGCCCGAGACTTCTCTGAAGACGGAAGAAGACAAAACACTCGGGCAGAATATATATACTCAGCACAGAGAAGGTGTCTGGGCCACTGGCATGGCCCGAAGGCAAGCCCACCCAGCGAGGCACAAGAAGGCTATTTCAAAGTACAAAATTGGCGCCTCACCAATATCGAGGGATAAGCCACCATCGTATTACAACATTTTTATCTTCAAAAAATCATAATGGTTTAAAGTGGGGTGGTAGAATATGCACTACAAGTGTCCAGAGGAGCTACAAAGCCATAGGCACGACCCGATGACCAAACTTCTCAGTGTCTCTTCCATTTCCCAGTTCGTGCTAATGGAATGAGAAGAGTGTGTGTTAAATAACGTCTTTATTTTGTCAGTGTTATAAGGGCTTACAGTTACCTAGGCTTAAAGGGAATCAGTGTGCATTTTCTCCTCCCGGATGAAAGGCACCCACTTTACCATGTGGTTGGCTTAAACTGATCGATTCTCACCCAAGAGTTGCATTCAAATAATCACGTATTACACAAAGTTGGTGCCCTTAATAATACAATCGAAAACGTAACAAATCACAGCCAAATTGCTTCATTGAGAGCTTTCTCCTATGCTTGACTTGGCCACTCACCTGCGTCAACTAGTACACCGAAATCGACATCATGAAAATCGTCTACGAGTTAGGAACCATAGGTCTTCATGCGGGTTCTAACACCTTCGATACCACTGTTGGCAACGGGGTCATGAGATTCGTTCGAATTAAGAATTGCATTGAGCAAAATGACTGAATAACTTTACTCAGAGTGGACTGCTCAATCCAATCCCTACTGGTAAGGGCATATGTCTAAAAGCAGTCCCTCAATAAAAGATATCATTTTAATTAATCATATGGATCTAGTATTCGGCGCCTGCTATTTCTGCTGCTTTGTACTCACACCAATGGCACTTAAGTGTTTATCTGGGTTTCACCTAACCAACAGAGTCATGGAAAAGATGTCATTTGTTCACGCAAACATAGCTATATGGATGCTGTAGACAACTTTGTTACAAGTCTTTCAAATAGTTCAAGGCTGACGTTTGCTTGTTTCGTTCATTAATAGCAGTCTCGAAAAACATAAAATTAAAGTAACTTCCCTGCTGTAGGTCTGTATAGATTCAGTTATCCCCAGCAGATGCCATAAAAAATAAGAGCAGGTGTGTTCAGATTGGGTTTTCATCCCGTTGCCACCATCGCAGGCTCCGAGTCATACATAAGGTTGTAATAAACAAAACAGTACAAAGGAATTTTCAATACTAGTATGCAGAAGGGCTTTGTGGTCATAGGCACGCCTGAGACTGTCCCATAGCGGATATAGAACAAGTCCAAGGAGTTCGTGTAGTTAAAAATAATATCAAGTTGCCGTGGCCCCACTAAATTGAAAGTTCTGCAATTCCTTTTACTTACCCACTCTATGAGCAAACGTTTTACTTATGTTTAAAGTGTCTATCCAGTTATTAATCAGTTAATGACCTTGATATTTTAATTGGTTGGTCATCGCTTCCCGAAGAAATTATCACTTAGTACTGGAGAAGTGCTAGAATCTATCTCGAAATAAATACTGTGCAATTGACTGAACAACTGGGCTTTCAATTATGTTTAAACCTCCTTATAAGTATATCTTAAATAACTGGATGAAATAGCATTCGTAAACGGTATCACCCGACCAAAATTCCGACGTCTGAATGGCAAAATTTGATGCTGACAAGATTCATCTTAATAGGAAACAGGAGCATTATTGTAGGTATGAAATGGGCTTTGACTTATGAGTATAGAGAATGAATAAAACCTCCTCATGGCGCTAGGCGGTGCTTTAATTCATTGAAACGAGTGTATACCCACAGTAAAAGTCGAATCCTTGCTAGTATGTTAGGGAGATTAGGTTATTACGAAGGTCACCTCTTGTAATTGACAGAACCTTTAATCGGCCAAATTCTATTCCCAATACTGTCTTCAAAGTCCCATTTAAACTTATGCTTTATGTGCTTTCGTTTATGGCTTTTCCGATGTTGCGGTCTTAATGATTTGACAAATGAGCAAAGTCACAAATCACTGAAACTCAGGGATTTGAAAATATTTTGTAAATAAATCCGACAGATAGATATTCATTTTGTGAATTGCTTTATGAAAACTATTCGTTCAACCCTACTAAGTTGCACCAACTTACCTGCCCTAGTTCACTACACTTCATTGTAATTTTGTGCATTACTGTTCTCGTCCCATAACCCCAAGTTTGCATTTAAAATAATTCTATAAATTACTGATTTGTATGCAATGTACGATGGTGTAACAAAGGGATCGACTAGTCGTGATCTAAGAGCTAGAACGACAAGCTGCCAATTTCCCATAGTCTCTATAATAAGATGGATGTTGTTTAATGAAACACAATGGTTGGGAAATTCGGATTCGATCTCTCATTAATGTCAACTTTTCTTCACCTTTCTTCATACATAACACAAGTACCTAACCTTCAATGGACTTATAAAATGGCGAAAGAAATTTTTAAGCAACCAAGAAGAACCATTTGATATTGTCTCACCGCTACGGAGTCCCTCATTTGCACTACCATCTACCGCTGCTATCCTAAGGTTCTTCGCGTGAATTCGACACCAACAGCTGTCTTAAAACATTCTGAGTAGCCTGGAGTCGGTCAGATAGCCCACAGTACCAGTAGCGTTGCAAAGAGGGATTCATACTCCCTTCCCATTAAGAGTAATCATTGAACACAGAACTGAACACGACCGAGAAAGGCGCAATGTTCAAACCCAAATATCACCATACACTGAGGGAGAATTCATGTTGTTGAAGTATTCAGCAAGAATCTCAAACGAACTGGAGACAAAGGGTTCTCTGGAAAACCCAATAAAGTGTTTTACCGATATTTGCGAAGTTAGTCAATTTCGTCTGAATGGAAATAATTTATCCGATAATTTTGCACGTTCCCATGTCACGTTACTGAACCCTTTGGTAGATTTGGTAGAAGCTCGAATATATTGGGCTACCTTGATATTGTTACACTTTTATAAATAAAGAACGCTTAATTTATTAACAACGTATTTCACATTTATAAATTAATACACGTTGTTATATTTAGGACCAAATTCGAGCCATGGTGTTTTCACTTCAGTACAGTGGTCTTTTGAAGCATATTTTCATAAGGGCATTTACACCCAATTTTTGGAGTTGAAGGCCGAAGGTACGATTCTTATCAGTGGAATTTTCATCTCGTTATTTCAGCTTCACGCTAGCCTGAGCTTGAAGCAAGTCTAGCTTTAGTGCCAACACGAAACTTCTATGCAAACGAGATCCCGTCACTGACTTACTGTTAGTTAAGATAATACATATTCGAAACTTTAGCCGTTCACACCTTTAGCTTGTATACGCTGGCGAAGTCAAATCCTCCACTTTGCCTCTGCGTTTGCTAACGTCTAGTGTATTTTGTTCATTGCATCCAGGTAAACGTGCCCTGACATAAAAACTCAACTTTGAGGGTAACTTATGGCCAAGGCCTAGGGGTGAAACTCGCCAGTGCAAGGAAGCCCAAGTAGTCTTCTCTCCTCTTGTACAAAAAACCATCGTTATCTGCAGCATACGTTTGTTTTTAAATGTTCTCTCCGAATCGCTCGGAGAATTTTGATAACACGCAGGTATATTATGCTTTCAAGGGCAATCTATATGCAGTACTCAAAATCCATTTATAAACTATTTCGGATTGTATCCGATGCTACACCTATTTGACAACAACTGCACGAGCCTATTTTAAATGATTTCTGTGTCAAAATGAAGTATTAGATGTTCTTTTTATAATAAAACGCATCTGTACTGATATTTGCAGCCAACTCTACCTATAAGGCTGCCTCAGTGGCAATTCGTGCAAACCGCATGTCTGAGTATTAGCGGGTTTTGACAAGATTTTGCCGGCAAAACTCCATACATTTTCGTATTTTTATACGAAAAAGGACTTCTTGTCAGTCAAAATGGATAAACTGGATGAATTTATGCACAGTGTCCACATCGCAGAGAAAATGTAATGGAACTCTAAAGAAAAACGAAAAACCTAAAGCCTGCAGCTGCCGAACTTTTTCATACCATTTTTGTTTGCGGATTTTAAATGCATCTAATTCAATGGTTCGGAACAAGGATAGTTTCTACACATAAATGGTGACAATGAACACGCTAGTGACTTGAATAAAAGAAGCAGCTTTGGTGGCCTTCGATGAAGTTGATAAAATTGAGTGCTGGTTTTTCTCGAGATATATACTTAATTAATTCTTCATGATAAAAATGCTACTTTTTGTTTACTTAAATTGTCCCTTTGTCTTACTGTGTCTGTACCCAACTCCTATCGACTTGCTAGCTACTATACACATTTATAAGTACTACTACAAATGTTTGTTCATTCAGTTATTTAAGCATTTTGTAACTCTGCAACATCGAATCTGTCAGCCAAACATGAATGGCGGGTTGTCCTATTTGAACTGGGAAGTGGGCACCTTTTGGAGGGAGGGTGACTAAATGGACTTCCAAATAAGTGACTCGGAACAACGACTTGCTGCAGCGAAACGCGCGCTCCTGATTAAAGCTGAGGTGGGGAACGCAAAAGGAAACACTTACCACCTTAGTATTATTCAAATCCATTATTTATTCAAATCGCTTTAGAGGGCCACATTGGCAGTGGCCGTATTTTTACAACCGTTTGTCCACTAAATGGGCGAAGAATTGAGAGTTTAATAAAACCTACGCGGCTTGTGACAACAACAATTTCGCTTTAAAAGTTGGATTTTTGGATCAAAATGTCTTCTATTCTTTGAGATGAGCTGCACAGCCTTTAAAAGCACTACTTCTCAAACAAAATTATTACTGAGAAACCGGCATTTGTGTGTCTCCGCATTAGCGCGAAATTGCAAACGAAGTATGGATCCTAACGGTGTTTAAGTCAGTTCAATGTCTTAAATGTAAACGGCTAGTCTCCCAATTAGCCACTCTCCTCATGGAACTCACTTCCCTAATACAAGTTCTTAAATGTTAAAGTAGGCGTGTTTCATTCCCGCTGCCAAACCGAAATTGAAGCAGTGACTCAATCATCTGGGGTGGGCACAACTATTGATCTGGACAAAGTGATTAAATTTGACACCTATTGATCAGCTCCAGCTGTTCAGCGGGACCGAAGTCGACTCATTTGACCCTTTTTAGTTAATTGACATCAGCCAAAAAAACTGCGGCTATGAGCTCAAATCGTGAATTCCTGCACAGCTCCCGCCCCACACATAAGCAACAGCAGAGTGAGGTTAGCCTGAATAAAGCCAGACTTTCTCGAAAACGTCCGCCGATATCGCCCAGTACAATATTTGGTCAAATCAATAGCAACTTTCACAAGGATTCTGTCTATGGCTTTGGTGATGTGCCCGGCACCGAAGCTGCCCTTGCAAAGCATCACTCTGAGGCTGCGGTGGAGAACGGCAAATGCCCTAAATCATCTAAAAAGAAGAAGCCTACATCAGGACCAATTTGTCAACTGAAGCCAACTGCGACGAACACTGAGGACGAGAAACCGGATAAGCGTCAAAGACTTTTAGACTGGCTTAAAGCAAGCCAGGCTAAGCGGGATGAGAACAATAGACAGGTGTTTTCTCGGTGGATAGAGAAAATGGACAATATGAAGACACAGGTGCAGGAACAAAGTTCTTGTCCTACATTCTACTGTGATTACTTGCCTCTGCCTCATGTACTATACTCCGCGATCAGCAACTGTCAAGAGGAGGCAATCGGGACTCCTACGGTCTACCTTGGTGTTCCACCATTCATGTATCAGCCCCAACCAGAACTGATTGATCCACAATTATTACATAGCGCGGAGTGCTTCCTAAAAAGGCCTGACCAACTGGTGGATGTGGGCTCCACATCAGAATGTGAGTATTATTTTCCTGATAATCCTGGACTCATCTGTAATCACGACTTCTATGCTCAAACTTTTGGACCAAAGCCTCAAGGAGGAAGCGAATCTACTCCAGAAACCTCAAGTGAGAAGCTTGATCTTGCGTCCGTGGGCGCCGAGAATCCAGTGTCTTATGCGACACCCGGAACACCCATTATCCCGGCACCCGTGAACTACACAACTGCAGCCCCGATAGTGTTCCCGATTCCCTGCATGCACTACTTTAACCACAGCTCAGAGGAGCCCAACATCGTTGTTCCCAGCGGGGACGGAATTGATAACTCTGCTGCGTCGATCCTCGGTTCGAAGCCTTCATCGTCTCCGCTATTATTGCAGACTGACTTAAGGCAGATGACGCAGGCCCCTCCATCCTGTTCTTTCGTGAAGCACTCCAAACACCCAATGGGCGATAATTTCTACCCTCCAAATGAAAGTTTTAACGCATCACCCTCAATGCGTGACCTTGCACTCGTTTATAATCATGCTAATCCAGCCCTTAACTTTGATATGATTCACTGGAACTCCCTGCTTGATGATATTAGCAATAAGGTGTCAGCCTCACCGCAGAACATTGGAAAGCAGGCGATTTTTCAAGAGATGCTGCTTTCAGAATTGAGTAATGGCTTGAAAGGTGGGGTTCAAGAAGAGGAGAGAAATTGAAGGCACTTTTTTACAACTCGCTTCTGGAGATTGCTAGGATCTAAGTCGCCTTTTTCGCTCAGCAGCCTGATCACTTTTGGTTATCAATTTTTTGCTCGATCTGCCCATTAGCCACTGTTAATTCTTGCACGTAGGACTCTGACGGCCCTAAAGCTATACCTACCTAGGGAATTAAAAAGCACTCACTTCTATGGCTTTACAATATAGGCATTCCTCAAAATGCGTTATGTATAAGTTTTTTTTCACATGCAACATGAAAGAACTGTTAGCCAATTTGGCTTTTTGAGGTGAAATACAATGAATGAAATGTATTACACAGTGAGTTAGTTGATGCAGTAACTATGAGTAGTTCTGAAACGGTTAATAGGAAATTGCAAACTCTGAAAGCAACAAGAAGATCAGAAAAAGCACAAATCTATAGAGTGCAAGTATCAATTAAATGCAAGTCAAAGTAATTTGACTTAGGAAATACTAATGAAATGTTGCGTAAATGTCACAGTATGTGCTCAAAATATTTCATAGTGGAGGCGAAAGAAGTCACACAAGTATTCTGCAAAAAAAAGCATATCAAAATAACCCAAATTCTTGAAATAATTCGTAAAAGCATATTCTAATTACTTCGTGTGCCAAAGCCAACGAAACTGTAGTGCAGTGGTAATGCTCCACATCAAGAATTGTTAGAATGGCCTTGACCCATAGTAATGAAAATACATGAAATCGATAAGTTAAGGGGAGAAAATGCAGATATTGACGAAGGTGGGAGTTAGTGCCTGGATCAGCGCTGAAAATGGGGTCACAAAGTTTGTGAGAGCTAATGTATGTCAGATCTAGACCAGAAACTTTGGTACGTAAGCAGGTAGTAACTTATCCAGTAACTTTCTGGAAACCATGTAGTTTTGTGCTGCTTAGTAGGCCACAATAGGACCAGCGGTGATAATCTCGAATACTTAAGCAGTTTGTATCAAAGTAGTATATAATGTAAATTAAATTTATCCACAACCTGCTAGATCTTGATGATAGTATTACTTTGGTTGCGTACTGAGCTACAGTGGCGTTCCGAACTGGGCCTTCCCTTTTCCGATCTGCCCTGTTCTGGATTATCAGCTCATCAACCTTTCCAGCATCTTCGAAGAGGAGGGAAAGTGTTACAAAACAAAAAATTCAAGACTAATTTTAATGCTAGCCCGAATGCAAAAGCATTGCTTTAGTTCTTCGAGTTCATTCAAATGAAAACACAATTGTTGCTTTCGGATTACATTTGCGGAAACCTGAAAAGTTTTTTTGCTGTACACCACTTTGCGAGTCCTTTACCTACAGTTAAGAACATGCCCATGCTTCTTCATTTCTAAAATCAATTTTTGATCTCAATGTTCAGTTATTTTTAAAGCAAGTACGCAAGTCTTTGGTGAACTTACAATCACGACTTAGACAAAACTTAACTGCAGCCTCTTTTTTACTACTTAAGACTTTTTAAAAAAAGATTTAGTCTAGGTCTAACATGCTCTTTGATTTTCATAATGAATGAGGCTAAACCTATGAGCTTTTATCCTGCGACTAAACAATCATGAATAAAATCTGAAGGTCACACTGTCTGGTAATCTATATAAAGTGGCGAATCCGCCCTCGCACCAGCTCGTGGTTTTGCTTGTTGTTGGTTTTCCTCCTTTAGGTACGCCGGTATTCTCAACTGCTGAATGTGATGTTTTAGAATTGTTTTTCTCATTCACACTTTTGTGGGTTGGAAGTATTTTCTCGCTTGTGTTCAAGCATCTGTAGTTTACTAAGCTACTGTACAATTTCGTCATACATTCTGTTGGCGGAGTTTAATAACCCTGGTCCTAAAAATCGTTACTAAAAGTCTTCATTTATCTATAAAACCAGTTATGTGAGGAGTGTATTGTGTTTGTGCAAGTTACAGAGCCTGCCCTAAGTTGTACCTATTAATTACCATCCCGAAAAAACTTGGTTTAGTTCTTCCGTTTTACATCGGAATATACTCCTCTACCCAATTGAATTGTAAATTTCTGAGCTATTCCTTTGCTCATTTGGCTCGTGGATTATTTGTCAGTGCGGAAGGCTGCTTGAGTGACACTGCGGCTTTCTGGTAATCTCATAAATATTTAGAGTCACGAGTGGTTTTATTGTCTAAAGTGTCCATGCTTTTAGCCTCTTTCAAATGTATTTTTGTACTTTCGTTAGATTTATTAGAAAACTATCACACACGATAATCGATGGTTGAAAAAAATGGATTGGATACCTATGTGAGTGAAGGCGATACCTTCAACCATGCTGAAGAAGTCCCCTGTCTCGATGCTATATCGCCAAACCACTCTGAGGAAGTCAGCAGCCTTAAATCATGCATCCTAAACAGACTTCGACGTCACTGTGCCAAATCTCTCATGGGTCCCTGGGCAAACTCACAAAATGTGGACATTGAAGAAGTTGGGTACGTTTCCTTTAACTTCCCTTGGGCTTATGATTTTTGGTGACTCAAACTTGCGCTTGTTGTAGTATATGTTTGGACCAAGGCTTTTGGTTCGTTCTGCCTGCCGCATTCCCTCAGTTTACACGGGGTGTAATTGTGTGATCGGACGGTCTGAATTGGAAAGCCACGGTGGCGTTATACGTGAAACGAATGACTCATCATGCAGCGTGCAGTCGCTGTGGCTTTCGTAAAGAGGTCTCTTTCACATTTTTAAGATTACACAAAATAGCTTCGTGTGTTTAGCAAATAAGCTAGATCAGGCGCGATTTATTTTCCTTTGTTAAGTCTACTGAGTTATGGTTTTATGTGGGTAACATTAAAGAGGTAGTTTTAAATAAAAGACAGACTCCTGCCATTCTTATTGTTAGACTCCATTGTACAGCTTTTTATAAATCTGTGCATATTTTATGCTTAAACGCCCATGCCTTTCCATATATTTTGTAGAGGAGGCCTTAGCAACTATCTATATGTGGCCACCCTAAAAGCTGGTACTGGCGATGTCAGTGATATGACTCCCACGAAAGTATTCATCCGCGTCTACGGTGAGCTTCTGCGCAGCAATATGAATTCAATCATCCTTGACGCAGTGCTGTTTGCCCTCCTCTCAGAGAAGCGTCTTGGTCCCAAGCTCTACGGTGTCTTTCCTGGTGGCCGAATCGAGGAGTTTGTTGAGGTTAGCTTCTCTCAAATGACGTGACTGTCTGACTGCTCCCAGTTGAATGCTATTGGTTTCCACCCCTAAGGGGTTTAAAAAATCGACTGTTTGGTTAAAGCAACCAATTGTGAGTGAGTTTTCTGATCTTTGAAACGGTCAATCGAGTTAGTTTTAACACATGTAAACTATGTACACGTCCGTTTTTCGAATATAACAATAAGTTTAAGGCTATGCAGAGGCATTATTGCATTGAATACATTTATACACTTACCAACAGTTCGATTGTTTAGTCTGGGTAAAATGATTCGGACTTTTTCCGGCGTAATGCAATTTCACGCAGTGTGCGAAGTGCATTTCCATGTTATTTTTTGAGGATGATTCCCACTGATACATGCCTTTTCAATTATTATTCTAAAAAAGCCACTGAATTCTTGCTCAAAGTGAAGTGCTACCAATCACTAAATAAGTATACGTAGGTAAGGCATATTCTAAAACTTCAAAACTGTTCATTATGAAAATTGGCTAAATTTCATTAAGTCCAGTACTATTTCATGGCTGTTTATCTACGAGTATCGCTTTCTTGCACTTCCGTTTTCATTTTTTTAAACTCTGCTGTGCCATTATCGGAAGTATGTGCAACAAAACGCGTTATTCTGCGATGCCTTTTCACTCGAAGAGTTCAAAAGGATTTAATTTTTTGGCTTAATGATCTGAGCCAAGTTACAGACAGTGATTAAATTTTTTAAGGTCTGTTTTTTCTTCGCTCTCATTCATATTTCAATAACAAATGTTGTTTGCAGTGTTTATGTTTGTGGTACTAATCTGGTTTTCTCATACCGATGGTAGTGCCTCGTATTTTGATGTTAAATCTTAACCAGCTTTCCGCTTTTTTTATTGATATACGTGAGCTGAATGCATCTAAAAACTTTATTTTCAATGACTGTCGTTCTAGTCAGTAGTACTCGTTCGTGTAGCATTCGCTCTACATAGGCAATGTCGGCACATTTTAGACGCCTTTGGTGTCAAACTCTTGGATGCGTGAATTTGTGTGCTTCTTGTTGGATCTCTACAAACCCCAATGGGTTTTACAAGCGTGTATTGAAAGCATCCACTTGGAGATGATGTTGGATGCCATTTCGGCTATACGAAAGCAAATGAATATTTTGAAGCTTTCAGCTCACGGGTTGAATAGCTTTCTTGCCGTTAATACTAAATTATTACGTCATGTTTGTTCGCTTGGTTCTGACAAACCCAGTAGATATTCTTGTGATTCTTGACATCCTCGCTAAATATTTATTGCCAAGGCAGTACTGAGCTTTCTTAACTTATCTCGCCTTTCCGCAAACCACTTTACGTTTTCCAATTGAATTGATGGGATAGTGTTTTGCAAGGTACAATTACTAATCCCCAGAAAGTTTTGAAAGACACGTCTTCCCTGAATTTCTGGTAGTTGTCTCACCGTTGGGGTCAGCATGGGGTTTGAGGCACACAAAATCGCACAAGCCTAGTTAGAGGGCGAAAACGGGTAAGCCAAGCACCCTTTTTTTGAGGTTAAAGGCTTCCATGTGGTTGTAAATTTGGCAGAAATTAGTGCTTTGACTTGAAGCGTTTGATAAGCTATCCAGAATGTTAGGGTGATTATTATGCGGAATTCCAGAGTGAGCTATTAATTTCCGCTCTATTCCGCACACTTCTATGTTCCAATTTTGCTTCTTGACTTTGTTTATACACGATTCACTTCCTATGGCTCCTATTTGATTGTTAAATTCGTACATGGATCTCGTCGCGTCATAGTGCCATGCTCATAGCAGTCCTATTAAACGGCACTAATAAACTACAAGGTTACATTCACCTTTCACAAAGCACGTCATCCAACTCCACCTTTGTTTAACTGTCTTTCACGAAATTACGTTCTTCTAGTCGCGTTACCTCTATGCGATTATCTTTCGTGCTGTTGAGGAATTCCATCAGGAGGTCAGCTTCTGCATTAATACGTAAACTGCATCACGATCGTGACTGGGCCAAACTGGCCTCACCACTTCCATGCCATCCTCGAGCAGTTGACAAAAGTTGTTCTACCAGGACTATTGCGTAATTAGCGGCCTGAAATCCGTCAAAGATCCCAGGCATATTTACCAGCTCGCCAATGCAAATGCGACAGAATGTCTCTCTTTTTACGTACAAATGATGCTAGGGTAAAATGCCGCTTTATTGTTCTTCTACACCGAAAGCTCTTCCCGTGTAGGATTTGTTATTAGTCGATTGTGGCGTGATCATCCAGGCCTCAATAATGGTGCATAGTGAACTGGTCAGTTCCATTCCACAAAGAGTCCAATTTTACTCGTGGCCATGTCAGTGGGACCAGCGTGCCGATAAGCCCGGTAAGAGTTGTCCCACTAGTCGGTTTTGTGTGGTTGAGGTCAGCAAGCTTAGTCACGTGCCTGCCTTGAAATGCTAGTTACTACTTTGTTTCCCCCGCTTATTGCCCTAATCATATGCTGTTTTGTGGGGTTAAACCATCGTCTTTACGTGGCAACATCGATTGTTTCGTCATCTTATCTTCCTATCTGTTTAGAGGCATATCTGATGCCCCTTGCCATTGGCTATGCGTGGTAAGACGCATGTGATTTGGGTCACATTAATTTATTAATTTGGTTGTGGGAATTTTAAACATTTGTGCAAGAAGAACGCGTGTAATTTAATCCTATGCTATGATTACTGTAGTATAAGAAAAAAATCTTGTCGTGAGTAGGAATTCCCGGTTCCTAGGACGGATTTGGTACCCAAATAGCTGACAGCGATTTACATTCACCGGCAGGCAAAGTACTGCTCTTAGCCAAGGAGAGCCAACGCCTCGCTATTAACATGTTTCTACCAACTATTTAGTGGTGGACCATATTTTTATTATTGTTGCGTTGTAGTGACGTAAACAAATAAGCAACTAGAATATTTTTGTCTTCTCGACGAAATTACTGTCATGTAACTATAATAATGGGAAAGATCTAAAATCCTGAAAACCACCTAAAAGGTCTCACGTCAAAAGTGTTACAACATGTTACACCATTATACACTACTATCATTCATATTTTGTCTTGTTCCTATGAAAAACTAGACAAATGTTTGGATTATGGCAAAATAGATGGCAATCGTGATTTGTCAAGTTCAAAATCTCCTTATCTGCGTGATTTTTAGGTCACAGCTAAATGGACTCATTTCCACTTCCTACTCGGCTGGTATTGGACCGTGCTACTTTTTTTCAGTCCAATTCAAGCATTCTTTGGGTAATTACTTGGGTCAATTACTCGATACCTCGACCGTTTTAATAAAGCGTTTTGAAGAGATTCAGAAGTGTATTGGGGTGTGAAGTGGGTGCCTTAGGGAATAATAATTTTATTTTGTCTTTCAGTTAATCTTTCCAGTCCTTTTTATGCTGTAATATTCTACTGCTCTTTGGCTAAATAAAAATACTAACAATCAGGATCCCCATTTCCCCCGGCACCGCACTTTTGTTCTCGTCCTTCATTGACTTTCATTTCTATGCACTTCAATTCAGGTGCCCTGTGGGGTTGGCACCTGTGTGGCGGAAAGCAGACTTTCACAGATTATGTTAAAGTGGCACGTTTAGAAAGGATATTACGCAAACTCACATGGTTCCAGTCGGTATTCCTGAAGTTGCTTTAAAACGCGTTATGGTTAGATTTCTTCCTTGAGGTCTTTGTCAGTCCATTATTTATTGTTGACGCCATTAAGTTGGAGGAGTTAAGATGCTTGTAATGTGAATTAGGTGTGTATCTACTTATGCGGGAAGCAGAATAGCTCACCCGCTGCTCCTTTGTTTATATGGCCCTGCAGGATTGGGCAGTGCCCTGACACCCACTCAAGCACGCATATCCACCATACACCCTGCATCGCGGAAGCCAACTCAGGAGCTGGAGCTGATGTTGGAGATGCACGAGTTCTAATGTTCTCTTCTTCGTGAGTTTTCTTTTGGTTGTTTCATTTACTAATGCCTATGACCCCTTCTTCAACCCTATTGTTCACTCCCTGTCTAGCTAACTAGCTGACTGAGCTCTGTGTAATGCATGTCAGTACACGGGTGACGTGTTTGTCGTTGGTTTTTATTCTAATTCTTAACCCCTGCTCTGTGCCAGGTATTACAGACATGTACGCCAAGTCTGCATTCACATTACCTCCTATCTTTGAATGCGCATGCTAGGTTTTGAAAATTGGAGAGTTTAAACCAGACATTACACACCTTTCTGTCAATAAGTTGAGCTCACTTCTAATTGCACAACATGATTACAGCAAAAACTTGGCACTTCACCTGAAGCTCCTAGCATTGAAATCTTGCCACCGCTTCTGACTAAGATCTATTGCATTTAACGTTTAACCGAGATAAATTGTGATCTTTGAATAGGCAGGTGGTACATTATACCATATAATGATTCTAACTGGCGTCTTCTTTGTGCTGCACGTGGTTTTGTGTACTCGATTAATTTCTTTTTTACGCATTAGAGTTAAGGGAAAGAGCTTTTGGTCAAAGGCCAATGCTATGCCATCAATTTCTTTGGCAAATTTTGACTAAAAATTGGAATATGAAGTTCATGCTTCAGTTTCTAGAGCCCTTAATTAGGAGTTGTTTGTGAACAGTTGCTGTTATTTGAGCACTCTGAGTAATAATTCAGGTTACAGTGAGTTTCATTTAACACAAAATGAAGGTTTTAAACTTTAGTGTCCTGCCAATTTTTGTAAAAGTGGTGTTGGCAATACCTGGCCGGCTTAAGGTTCCACCTGAGGAATGCAATCTCGTAAAGCCCAAGTTTACTGGTTTGATTTGCATAATTGCTTATTCATTTTTTTCTTCTGGTTGAATGCCAAATTCACAAAATTCTGATGTAATCTTAGCTGCACGTATAAAGTGGCTAAAATGATTGACAGCCATCTGTTTGGTCTTGTCAAAAACCAAACTTGGTAATACCATCCTCCCGTTACTTGGAGATGATGCTTTGTGTCTCAAATTTCTCTCAAATGTTTCCAAGACAAATCCTCTTAATAGGCACCGCTAGTGCTATGCTTGCATCGTGTCTGGACGGAATAGCTCCTTCTGCTTAATTTTGATGTGTCTGATTTTAACACGTGTGTCTCATAGTCCGTACTGAAGTTTATCTCACAGGCTAGTTTACCGGTCCATGCTGCAGCCGGAAACTTTTATGTCGCAAATATACATATTTGTGTATGCGCGTGTAGCTAAATGAGATATCATGTTTCAAGATTCTTCAGGATTTAATTATAAATCTGTTCATAAACTATAGGCTTGCCTAGTCTGTAGATGGAAAGCAAGTTCGCATTTAGATGACTGACAAGAAGGCAGTTAGCATCAAAAGGAGGTCACGGCTTATCCATCTGCGCATTTTCATATAGCAGTGGCCAACGTTGAAACCAGTAGTTCCTAACGTGTTCCAAATAATGGGTTACACATCATTCAGTTAGCCCACTTAACAGCGCTTTGCATTTCTGGTTGTGAAGCAACTAGCGATTTGTCACCATCCACCTGCCTACCTCTCACGTGGATGCGAATGCTTGTTTTTGTGGAGACGGGAAAGCCTGTCGTTCTCATCGTGTATGCAAAACCCACCTTTATTGCCCGCTTTATTTGCGCAGTTGTTTGTGGTGTAAAAAATCGACTAGCTTTGACAGTCTGTTTTCTCTCGGTTTTTGGCTTATCGAACAACTTGACTGCTTTTCCATTCCCGCCTTCTTGTGTATGTTCTTTAACAACTTTTAAATACCAACTTAATCTACCGGAAAGGTTTAATGACATTAAAGGTGTTATCTGCTACCTCAACGTTGTTGACTTTTTTTACACACAAACAACCAGCATGGTACGTTAAGGTTGCCAACGTCAAATCAAGGTCCCATGGCTGTCTGGCATTTTAACATTTTGTTGTTAAAATTCGGTTGCAGCCATATAAACTTGACCCTCTTATCTATCGCTACCTATAGGCAGCATAGTGGTGTTTATCTATGTTGAAAGTAGTATGCCTACGGTGGTCATGTTAACTACTTTCGGGGTCAACACCCAAGAGGCGTATTGTGTTACGAGTAGTCCCATTAACAGATTTCAAATCAGCTTCTATTGTAATCACTTCATTCCCGTTCTTCACACTTAAACACGGTATGCTTCATGGGTCTGAAGCAGGACTTTTAATAATTGACTTTTGTGTCTTCACGTCCTGTCCACCTATTAATATCGCCAAAGGTGTTTACTCTGCGATTGACACCGATTGGCTATCGTGAGAGTAATCTTTATGCATCCTCCTACCTGTAAATCAGTCAAATCACAATAGCGACATACTTGCCTCTCTTCATCAGTAACTACCGCATAGTTTATTTTGCACCTTGTTCCATGGGGCATGGGGGAAGGAGGGGGTAGAAATAACAACCTGTAGGGGCGAAATTTGTGGATGCGTGTCACGTGTAAGCGAAAATTCGCTGTCCCAGATGGGATATAAGATAGCCACCTCTGTTATCCCCTGGTACACGAGGTCGTGCTGTTCCCTTTTTTCTGTGATTCCAATTTTAGTAAACGAAAGTGATATTACCAATATTCTGAAAGTTTTGCAGACCTTCATACCTTTCTGGTTGATTTTCGAAGCATAAAAAATTTTCATAATGCAGCTTAAAGTGTTCAGTTTTAACATAGCTCCTCAGGCTTCGTCATTTCCAAAAATACAAAAGGTCAGTTAAGGTTTATTGTCTGACACTTTATCTTAGGCCTAAATACAGCTGATTTAGACGTCTGTTTTAAAAATAGCTGGGAATGCTTTGATAGTGCGGTAATAAGCTAGCAGCTAATTAAGGTAAATCTCTATCAGGGCTAAATTGACTGCTTATTACTTCTCACTTAACCATTTTACCAGAGCGACAAAAAAACACTCGCTTTTTGCTGCTAGCACTAACCAATTAGAAAGGGATTAAAGGCGTGGACACCATGCTGTTCTCATTGGACATGTTGGCAAAAGCACATATTTCCTCCGCACTTGGCATGAGCGAAGGTTGTCAACTTAGTCAGCATTTGATAGCAAAAGGAACCCTCCTAGAGGTACTAGCTTCCAGAAATAAGTCATTTGTATTGGAACGGGCTGTTAAATGTCATTTGGGTGTTTTTACGAGTTTCTGTTGATTTGCATTTGCGTTGCTGAGTCATCATAGTAATTTGCCATGTATTCTCGTAGTGGTAAAGCTAAGTCCATGATGATAAAGCGTACTTATATGGCCTGTGCTAGATGAATGCCTATGTAGCTGGCCACACTGAACATAGATGAAAATGTTATTTGATAAATCTATAGCCATATTGAACCTAATGAATAGGTTTGCAAATTGGAAATGGCCTCGTCAAATCTCCATTTAAAGGAATGCGTGTTTTTCAGTCGCGGACGCTGAGGACGGAGGAGTTGGCATATCCGTCGGTACGGGACTGTGTGGCGCTACATATGGGTGCTCTGCATAGTCTAACCCTACCGGTGCCGAAGATGCCCACCTTCATCTTCAAGACGATGGCCAAGTTCTTGCAGCAACTGACGGGCACACGACAACCGCCGATGCGTCGTCTGCTTTCCTCTGCCGCTGCTGCTGCTTCCTCGACCAACGCAACCCTTGGTGTTGGTACCGCTAGTGAAGAGGAAAATGGACTGCCCGATGACGTACTCATTAACAATCCGCCGCCGGGCTCGCTAACCACCTCCCAACTCTTCGGCTCAACCTCCTCCATCGGCTCCATTCCTGAACCCCAGTCGCATCTATTCAAATTCGTCAGTGAATGGAGGCTTGTTGAGGAGTTCGAGTGGCTCAGGTAAGAAGGACGCGAATCCTGTAGACACTGCTTACTTTGGTTATTCACTGATTACCGTTGTTGAAGCTCTGGACTAGATTACTTCTTGAAGAAGCTCCTTTAGTTTGTTTTTTGCTCCCGATTCTTGTAACAGTGCGTGGGACAGATCTGCTAATATGCACTAATTTTATTCCTTCAATAACAATCGCATAATTTCCTAGTACTGAAACAGTATCCATAGTTTTCGTCGACGCATTTTCGCTACACACCTTACAGTGATGGGTTGATCCTTGAAAAAAGTTGATTGATCAATGCAGGTTGATTAGTGTAATATCACCTTGGTATTCATAGGGCTTTATGTCTAGATGTAAAGATCTAAACAGCAACCCTAACATCTTTTTCCCAGTCCAATGTGGGACCGCGCTGTTCCCCCTCTAAAACCATCTTTCACTAATTGTCAGCGAAGATTTTCTCCTTCAAACACTGGTAATAACTGCTGTTGATACTACTAAGCAGAACAATGAATCCCTTTGTTTCTAGCACTATAGCTTTTGTGATAAAAGCGAACAGTGGCGCTTGAAATCTTTGCCTCTCCACAGGCTCTCGATTGTCATAGACTGTGCATCCAATTTATTTCATGTTACTTTACTGGCTTTTTAGAAAGTCAGTTACGGTAGATTTATTGGATAGAAACAGTTGTTTTGTGCATTAGACCCAAGATTCTCTTTTGGACCTGTTTTTTTAAGAATGTCAACCACCTTAGAGACAGTTTTCTATGAATAAACATCGCAAGAAATTTTGTGCCTTTTGGAGACAATGTCGTAAGTGTTGCTTGAAGCATGGTTCAGCCTTTATAATAGAATTTCTTGTCATATTCGGCATATTATTAGCATAAGTTACCATCCCGATCCCAAAATTGGCATAGCGATTTCCATTAAGCAGTCATCAGAATACAATGTTGAATAAGCTTTATGGGCGGAAGTGTTGGGATTTGAGAACTGAGTTGCTCACGTACTTTTCATCCATTGTGAAGCGACTGCTTCTAAATTATTGAAATACGCACCTCGTACCCTTTTCATTCTCTTGTAGAACTACGTTTTTCGGAAACATGGATAGATTCCCTGTGCGGTTTTGCCACAACGATGTTCAAGAAAGTGAGATCTGCTTAAACAGGGTGGATGCTTTTGTGCTCTGCAGTTTATATCCTTAAAAGACCTTTCGCTGCTAGTGGCGTAGTGGCTAGATGTGCAGTCATTTCCCACGTAAAAATCTCGATTTTTCATTAGCTTACACTAACACGTCTAGCTGCGCTCACGCAATTAAGTATGCGACACTCCACTGCATTAAAGTGGTTTTAAACGTCCCATTTATGTAAATGTATGGAGTGCGAACCATTTTTCAATGCGAATCCCAATTGTCTTTTACCTTAGGTACTTTCTTTCTTAGTGTTGCTTAAACTTAATCTTACAAAATGATTGCTTTTTTCTTGTTTACCAATATTTTTCCCTCTGATTTGAACTCTTTTTATTCCCATTCATAAAGATAACCTGCTGCTCTACAAGGATCCTTCAAAACGGGGCTGGTTTAGGCTGCTAACAATCGACTATGAATACGGCAGCTATAATTTCCGGTAAGCTTATTTCTCCTAAGTGTTTCATCGGACTCTTTTTGGTTCAGGTTTGAAAGGTTATTAGAAGTACTATGATATTTGAGCTTATTTTCTGTGTGCCATTGGAGGCATACAATTACCTCGTGTGAGCTTTTAGAATGCGTAATTCGTAGGTTCCAATCGTACAGACATAAGTATTTCCTCTAAAAATCGACTGTTAAAATCATAACTCTCATGTCTAGCACCACTCATTCTAAATGCTATTCAATAATATTTCGGACTGTTTGGTTGTCGGTTTGAATTCACAAAGTTGATTCAACTTTCGCTGTGTTTCGTTTCTTTTTCTGTAGCTGTATTGACATTGGCAACTTCTTTAATGAATGGACTTACAACAACCGTTACCCCCACCATCCTGGATTTGCGTATCTGCCTGAAGCCTATCCTTCGCGTGAAGACCAGGTCAGTGCACATTGCCTTCGGAGTGCCGTAGGAATAATTTTAATAGCCACATTGATGAGGACTTCAGTGCGTTTTGCGTGTAGAGATTTGGGCCTTGATAACGCGGGTGTATTGTTTCACTTAATTAAAACTCAAAGTTGACGCGGGGTTTTAATCTGGAAACATAGGGAAGGCCAGTAGGCAGGCATGGCTCACAAGCGTTGGGGCGAGTTATTATGGAGCCTCCGTGCTTTTTCTTGCTTTGATCTAATCCCAAAAAGGGGCCTGGATGCTATGGCCGCATGTCTCGTGACTGCGAGATAATGCTACTTATCCAGTTGGTCCTCTCGTCACTTTCACGAATTCACCGACTCCTTGCATATATGGCGTATAGTATGAATATATCATTTTTTAGAGAACGTTGTCCGACTTCACTGAAATATCACTTTGAAATATACTATCATTTCCGTCATGGCCTTATCATCTTTTGTTAGGTGTAAGCGCCTGTCGGGGGGCGACAGTTTCAATCATTGGAGTGGTGCTTGAGTCACGAGGGTGTGACCTTCGGCAAAGTGGAGTTTTTTTAAAACAATGAGCGAGGACGTGGTCGATCCATCCGAACCATTTTCCACTCGCATGACACATCCATAAGTGTTTGTTGTCCTCGATCTAGGTGGTATACAAAACCACCCAACTACCATGCCAACCGAATTTTGTTTTTATTTTGCTAGCCAAAATTGCACATCCATTTTACGGACTGTCAGCTTTCAGGCAGTTCCATTTGTATGTCAGTAACATCTTTCAACGGGGAAATTGAGGTGATTTCTGCATTTTGGGGGTACAGTTGGCGTTTTGGCGCAAGTACCTGACGGTGTACAACTACGTGGAGAATGGTGGAACACTGCCGGGGACGTACATTCATCAGAGTCGACGGGTGCACTCACACAGCGTCTGTGGACTGCCACCCATGGAAATAACCAAGCTGCTGCGTTCTCCGCCCTCAGCGCCGATCTTCAAAGAGGACCATGACGAGGTTTTTACTATGGGACTGGGTGTCGGTGGTAGCGACGGCATCGAAAGCACCGGTAACAGCAATGTGGAGCCTGTGTGGGACCCCGCGCTGCGGTGCCTTTCCGAGTTGGAGGAAGTGCGCCACCTCGAGGAGGTGACTCTTGCACCGGAGGAGGAAGAAGCTCTTCTAATCGAGACTACCTACGGCGCCCTCATTTCCCACCTCTGGTGGACTCTCTGGGCTCTCATCCAAAGCCAAATCTCCAGCATCGACTTCGGATTTATTGTATGCATTGACTTCTTTCAAATCGTCTCCATCTCATTTATTGTTTTATTTTCGCTTATTTCGTCGTTTGAAATTGCACAAAACGTGCAAGTGGTTTTGTAATTTGTCATTCAATCCAAATTATAGTATCGTGAAACATCACGATTTGATAAACAAGCATATTTCCCAGGACCCCTTCGTATGATCTTACTGTTGCACTCTAGAAGTACCGTCATCGTTGATGCATTCAGAATGCGGAAGAACAAGCATTTCGATGTTTCTCATTGAGCACTAAAACGTCTGTTATAGAAGATTGCCAAATCAGTTGCTCATCATACCCATCCCATAGTTTTCTACTAGGCATGGCTTTATTTGAGTCCATTTTCAGGTCATTTTGCATACAGATTCATAATTTTTCGTGGTATTTAATAGGAATATGCCGAGTCAAGAATGACAGCGTACTACGACCTAAAGAAGACATTGCCTGCCTCAGAGTTTCCCAACGGCGAAGGCCAATGCATTGACCTACCCAACTCGCGGAAGGCAAACGGTGAGATTTTTGATATGGAGCTACCTGCCAAGGTGCAAAGGAACGGTGACAGCAGCGAGGCCCGCCCGAACGCCTCTAATCCTGTTACCGCCTTCTACGTCGTTGAGGAAGACGGGTGACTCCCCCTTTGGTGTCAATTACAGATAAATACTACTCTTGAAGTTTGTTTTAACAGTCACCTTTGCCAGAACTTTACCCCCTACGCCAAGACTAGTTTCCCCGCCACCACTGCTAATGGACAAAAAAAATAAACGTGAACACTAATATCTGATTTCTTCTGTTACATTCGCTTTGTTAAGCACGCGGAAAATCCGCTTTTTCGTCACCCCTTGCCTGTCTTCCCCTCTCGCCTTTGCTGTACGTGTTCGTCGATGCGTGAGCGTTTGTGCGCCTCCTCGTCCTCTACGTGTATTATGTACGCACACGTGCTCTGTTCAGTCATTATGTATTTTATCAGATATTCGTATTTTTGCATATCTTCGTGATCGTTTTTACTTTCCCTGTCCCTGCAATTGGGTAAGGGGGCGTCGGGGTGTAACAACAAAGGCTAGGGACGGACACTGATTGGAATAAATCCGAAGCAATCACTCAATAATCGTGTTTATTTTTAGCGTAAAATATGGTAATGAGAATTCCTGATCATGCTACTGTTCCAGTAACCAATTACGGTGACAACCTATCAGTGGCTAAAAGGGACTCCTCAAAAACAAATAAGCTCACCGATAGAGCATTCAACATAAATCTATATGCAATCATAGAACTCGAAGAAATGGAATGGCTAGTCTTCCAAGAAAGCACTAACATTTTCCCATTTCAGGCATGACTAAAATCTGCAGTCTTGCGAAATTATTATTAGTAGAACTTATGGGAGAGAGCACCTGCCACATGGTCCACGACCAAATCTACATCTAGCAGGCTTTGTGTCGATCACAAGTGTGGTTATACCTTATTAAGGTAAGCCGCTACATTTATTTGCGATAAGCGAAAGACTTCGACCGTTTTGATGGTAGGGGAAACGTGTTGCTATAGCCGTCCCAATCAGGGAAAATCATTTTGTATAAATAAAGTTCTACCTCAATTTATAAAGTATTTAATAAGAGGAAAAATTCACAATTTACGACATTGATAAAAATTTGGAAAAGGAAGCGGGTAGAGAGGCACTAAGACAGTATCACAGACCCGTCTTCTCATGGTTAGTGCTGTTTGGCACCAAGTCGGACCTCAAAGCGACCAGAGCCGCGGAAAGGCATCTCCTCGAAGTCATAGGCAGCGGTACGAAGAAAGTTGATAACGTTGTGACGCAGAGTAGAGCTGGGTTTACGGCTGCCGAGACGAGGTGAGCTCGAGCCCCAGCCAGTGATCACGGTGAGATGCTTGGGGAGCCAGTGGTTAGGCAGCCTGACGGCCTCGCTGAAAGCGTCTGCGCTGGCGACGCTGGCGGATTCGGGAGGCAGGGGAGTGCCGAGAGAGGCACAGCCCGACTCCAGGAGGCGGAGACGCTGGCGTAGGGCGTGCATGGCGTGATGCAGGTCAAGGCCGTGCAGGTCAAGAATGGTGAGCCACTGACGCGCATACCACTGCGAGTCCCGTCTCTCCGGTCCCTGACTTCTACCCGTTCCCTCTGCCGCCACTTTTTTCGCTACCTGCTGCTGTGAGCTCAAGGCCACCCGAAGATCACTCCACAGGTCTAATCGGTACTCTAGTCGCAGACGCATTTCCTGCAGCTGAATTAGTCGTGACCACTTTTAGTGGAGGTAACTTCAGGAGTTAATTAGTTTTGGGAATTGCTACTAGGTCAAAAATGGTTTTCGTTTGTTTTATCCACATTCACGTAGCACAGATACCTAGTCATAAATTTTCGATTCCTCAATACATACGTTCACCTTGTAATTCAGCTGGTATTTAATTGTCACTGTATATCCACAAACTGTATTTTAACATTTCGTAATATATTTCACAAATATGTTCCAGTTTTTACATAAGCATAAATTCTGATTCAACTGTAGGCCCTAAGTGCAGTGAGATGTCAAATGAGGTAGAAGGGATAATATGAGAAATGGTTATCAGATGAAGGAAAATATCAGTCAATATAAGAAAATATGCCTATTTGGAGCAGAGCAAGTTATTGTCATTCGGATTTTTCCCCATTTGAAAGCCGCGACAAAAAAACTTGAGGCCGCTCCAAACACAGCTCTTAGAAAAACTGTTTAATGAGGTCGTACCTGCTAATATTCCAACTACCTTCAAAAATACTAGGGCCTTATTTACTTGATTTCCATTATTATTTGAGAATTTTGCTGGGATTGTATTTGAGTATTTACTAGGATTTCATAGTTTAAGGACTTGTAGAGGTGTGTATCGAGAATTCCTATATGGTTATTCAAAAAGGAAACCTCCTGATAATGGAGACGATGGTAATAAGAAACAAGCAAATATGCGATGTCGAATTCAGAAGGTATATACCACAAAAAAGATTTGGAAAGATAGAACTTTCCAGATCCCTCCAAGCTGTCTATAGGACGAACAGTACCAGGGCATTCGCACTTACCTCATCGCGATAGAAGGCTGTGACGCCAGGATGAGTGCGCGTCTGACGAATCTTAGCCAGAGTGGCCTTCATTTGTTTAATGTTTTCTCTAAGATCCGCGACTTCCAACTCCAGGAGGTTGAGACTTTGAGCGGCGTCGGTCGAGATGGAGGAAGGAGGGAATGGACTTGAATCAGCCGGTTCCTCGATCTCCTTAAGTGAGAGCACCGAAGGTGTTGGCTGGGCTTTGTGACCCTCTGCCTCAAGGTGGTGACGTACCCTATCCTCATTGAAACTAGGTAAAAAGAGGAGAAATTGTTTAGTGACCTAGCAGCGTCCTATTCATTGACGGTGAGAGAAGGCGGGAGGTTTGCGGTGAGGGCAGCTTACCCAAACTGAGCGAACAGCTCCGCCAGGTAAGATTTGGTGAAACTGGGGAATTGATCAGCCAAACGATGAAACCTCAGTCTAACGGCCAGCGTTTGATTGTTCTAAGGAGTCCAAAGCAGGCTGGCAATAAGTAATTTAAATTAAGCATCAGAAACTCGAACATTAAAAGGAGTTTTAGCAACTATCTTTCTCCCATTCTGTAACAGCAAGGAACATGCAAATAATACCTCGAAAAAAAATATATCAGGTTAGCTTGCCCTATTGTGTTTGCCCCTTTTAAAAAAGCAGCTCTGGTTTGTATCCTAGCATTTTTTAATTTAACATCCCACTGAATGGCATAAAGAAAAAGTTTTCAAAATATCTACTCATTGACTTCTTGCTAGGACAGCAACTACAATTGTTAAGCATTACATTATTACAGCTATGAATGGATATGATCGGATGTATTGTATTCGATCATTCATAAAAAAAATTTAGGGGCAATACGCCAGAAGTAGTTATAAGGATCACTGACACAGAGAAGCATGCTTGAACTTCCATCACTTCTGCAAAGAACCATAACCGAAAACAATGTATCAGATTAAATCTCGAGCAAATGAGGTAGATCCTTCAATAATAAGTACGCTTTCGGACTACTTTTAGGACCTCGAGTGAGTCAGGTGGATTTAAAAGGCGCCACACACCAACGTAGTACGAACCAGCTGGTGCCAGCAGTTTCACAAGAACACTTCACATGAAATTAGACACACACTGGAGCTATTAAAGTTCTCACAGAGGGTTACTATATTACAGGGCTTGCCCAACTTGCCCCTATGATTTATATCAAAGTAATAACATGAAGCATACTACCAGGTCAACAGCCCCTCGGAACTTAAACTTCCGACTGGAAACAACCAGAGATGGTTTGATCATGAAAATAATATCGTTTATTTTAAACGCGGTCTATTTTTGGTGAATCACTACTACTGATTTTTAAAATTCCAATGGGAAGGGCAATTAAGAAAAACTTGCATCATAATCGAAAGTGAATAGATGTGGGAGCAAAACAAGCGAGCGCCTTGGCCACATAATCGTAAATACATTTAGGTGCATATAAGGCCTCTGAGACTCATTTGAAGTTTGTAATTTGGCGCCAGGAAGACTAGTTGAGAGAAGAGGGTCAGAAGAAAGGGAGTGCGCATATGAATATAGTAGAAGCAGATGTAAGTATAAGAAAATCTCAAGGCCAATAACTCCGTTGCGCAAGAAAACAGACCTTCGATTTGTCAGTGAGAGATCGCCGGCGGGCCTCGTCCTCCTCGATGATGACGTTCAGACGTGGAGGGCCAGTCAAGAGAGTTCGGTGGTCAGTGGACACAGATGAGACTTGCGGAGAGGCAGAAGTGGAGGATGCCTGTGGCTGAAATCCAGAGGTATCCGCGGCGGCGTTGAAGGTCGCAAAGTCCAGCACTCCCGCTACCAGGCATGCTGTTGCTGCGTCTACATCAAATCTGCACAGACAACGTAGGGAAAATGGCTGAAGGTTCACTCACTCCCCAATTCGCTCGCTTATGCACCCATTGTTGATGAAGCCATTCGTCTATCTTGTAACACTTCGCTGAGACTGGCGACGAAATGTGCTGAACTAAGTTGCGTTTTTCCGAAAAGAGTTCTATAGAAGCAATACCACGACCACTACCAATAGCAAGATACCTGACTTAAAATCTATCCAGGAAGATGTACTTTTTCACTTCTAAATGGTACCTTCGTTCCTGAAATTAGTTACTATCAAGATACACATTAATATCACTTTGTATCACTACTTATAAATTCGCAGCAATTCGTCTGCTACGTCAAATTTATGAAAAGGAATTAGAGAAGATTAAGTTAATGAAGTAAAGAAACGTATACGCCATTACATCAGATAAATAAGAAGCTTTTGGGATTCATTTATTTGTAATCATTATTTGAAAATGGAATGCATTGTGATTTGCCTTTTCATTGTGTTTCAAATCCACTAGCCGTCTCAGAAACCGTTTATTTTCCTTACGGCTCACTTCAAAACTGCCAAAAGCACACAGATGGGTTTTCATTAACGAATCAGTCAGGAGAAGTAAATCCAAGATCCATTAATAGACAAAAGCCTATCAAGGGGCTGCAAGAGTCGCTATTTTGGGATTCAAAATTACGAAATAGCGTCATCACATTTTATTTGCCAGAGTTGTGCGACTCACCAATATTCAACAGTGACTTATTTAATTGTCAACACCTGTTTTCATTTGTCTTCCATCGATTCCTCAAGTATCTACCCAAGTTTATCAAAAACACCGCTTTACTGTAAAGAATGAGCCGCCGTTTTGTTTATTTCAATGGCATAAAACGCTCTGTGTTTGATTACATGAATGTTGGCTTCATTTTTCAAAGCGAGGATGATTTGGTGACTTTACACTCTTGTAACGCGACCTCATCAAACATCCTTCTTTCAAAGAAAAGCAGTGCTTGAAGTGAAACATTGGCAAGGGCAAAGAGCTCAGATTGCATAACTAGCGATGAAAAAGTGCGGGCCGATGTAGATGCTCAATTGAGCACGCAAGCACACATTTGGCGGGAAAGGCAGACACATTTATTATTAATCATATTCCTGTATTCAAGAGGGTATACGCTAGTCACACACACGAGCTATACTGCATCAATTTAGGAAGCGGCAAATGTGTGAACTTCCACAGTTTTGCTCACAGTGATACCTAAAGTATCACTATAAATGGCTTTGAAACCGAAAGGTGTGGAGGCAGGGTGAATTTCCAAAGTCCTTTTCTTGTCGATCACTTCAAACTTACCCGCATCGGACTAGGGTTTCCATAATGACCTCGGGATCAGTGCCTGGATATTCTTTTACCAGTTTGTCCAAGGCTTTTCGAGCATGAGGCTTTTCAAAGTGCTTGGAGGAAAAGAAGAGGGGAACCCATTAGGCATCACTATGAGATCGAACAAACCATAGGCAGAAGAAGATCAATGAAATGATTTAAATTGTGCTAAAAGGTCTGCAGGCGAGAGATCTGCCTTTATCCACGCGCTAATCTACTTGGCAAAGTACAAAACTTAAGGCAATCAATGAAAAGAAGACGGTAAGATGAGAGAAATCGGACCAAGATTGCTCGATAGTAACTTTTTAGTAGCACACTGCTTTCACAACTCAAACCAGCACGATTTATTTCTAGATGATGGGTACAAGGATTCTAAAATACAGCTTATTTTGATGAAAGAACGCTTGTGCAAATCTTGAAGACAAGCTCAGAACAGTCGAGTTGTGAAGTGCATTCGTATATGTATGTATGAATATATATGTGAAAAAAAGGGAGTGACGCCCCCCCCCCCCAAAAAAAATATCGTTTCGATCTTCCGGACAAGGTCTGCTCACACAATTTCGCATTCGTCATTTACCGGGGGTAAAAATTAGACAGATACCTTTTTCTGTTCCAAAACAGACAGACGAATGGCTGATTCCTCTATTAAAATGCTTCCCAAATCGGGAACGTTTGAATTCACTGGATTGCAAGCGCCAGTTCCTACGTTGGGCAGTTTAAATTTGACATCATCTGAAACTATCAATAGTCATGGGAGAATGCGACAGAACTTGGACCAGTTCATGGTATGGTAACGCTGAGCACTCACCGAACTTCCGATATCGAGGATTCCAATTCTTTTTTCTATTATTCTTCAAGCAGCCGAGCTGACTCAAGAAACTCAGTAAAATTTGCTTTGATATGTTTTCATCTGGCACCCATTCATTAAACACCTCTGGAGGCATTTCGTCAAAATCTACAATTAACAAAACGATGGCACTACAAACGCTACTGACAAGTGTTTAGTAAGCTACTTTTCCAACCGACCAAGCAGGAGCTTCGGAAGACCAAGCTCCGAGGCGTATTCTGTGTAGGCGGATTTCAAGAAATGGGGCGAAAGATGGATAAGTGGTGCCATTTTGGCTTGATAAGCGTCGTCCAAAGACCCACCAAGTGATTCTTGAGAAGATTCTTCACCAAGCAAAGGAGCATTCTCATTTTCCGGATCAATGAGAGGTGTCTCCTCCTCCTCCTCTTTTGCCCTTGAATCAAGCGGGCTGGTTAGTGATTTAAAGACCTCATCGGAACTGCTGTTCATTGAAGTTTGTTCCTTACATTCAGCAGCAATTGCAGCCGCGTAAACAAAATCACCTTCTGTCAAAAGGATCAAAGCTTCCAGGTAGGAGAGTTGCAGCTGAGGAAACATCTCGTGAAGTCGTGCCACAGCATCAGTATCCGCTGGAGTAGCAGCAAAAGAAGAAGCAGGATCAGAGGATCTGGTTGCCTCACCTATACCAAGTGACTCTAAAGAATGCAAGATAAAGCCAGCAAAGAATTAGCCATTATATCATTGATATTACACTAAATTGAACTGCATTGAAACGAAACTCACTCATAAGGTTGGCGGCTAGGTTGCCTGGATTTACAATTTCACTGGAGATTGGCCTGAGAAATAAACAGACTTAAGATTAGAAGTGGGTACAAAATGCAGATACTTACTTTAAACGTATATCAAGCTACATGAATATTTAGTCCACTGCATTAGGCCCTACACAGTGTGGATGAATCTGGCCATGCCACCCATGCTTTTAGTCCTCAAACCAATCCTCGCTATCATAATGAGATTATTGAAACCAATATACACCTTCAACACTGTATTCAAGGACTGGTTTTGGATTTTCCCTTAGGCTCAACAATCCTATAAATGACTGAAGAATACAAAAAGATCTATAAACTCACATAGTTAATTTGTTTTTTATCTCTCTGCCTTAAGGGACGAGGAAGATAGTGGAAAGCTTGAGGTCCTAAGATGCTAACTTATTGTCCTTTCACCCACTTAGAAATGGAAGGATTACTTACGGAGTAGGAGCCTGTAGATCAAGTGACGCAGTATTGTGCAATTGAGGATCACACGGCGCCGGGTTCTTCGGTGATTTAATTGAAGCATTTTTTCGCCGTCTTAGCTCAGCAACGACATCTTCGGCGGTCCAGAACTGCTCGAAACGCTCCAACAGGTGTTGCAGTTGGTTCTCAGTCAAACCGCGCCGATTCCTCCTAAAGTAATAAAACGCCCTGAGAAGTATCACACAGAGCCCAGTGAAATAGCCAATTACTGTGTATTAGTTGAGTGCATCGCCATTACACTTTTGGCAACCTCTAACGGAAAGCAGATTCTGATAAAGAAATTTAAGTAGCCTCTGCAATCATAGACCACAGGGTTTCGCAAGTTGGTGGTGTAATATAGCACAAAAAACTAGCATTGAGTTACGAGGCGCGTCCGCAATCAATCCCACTGCTTTCAAGTTTAGAATAGCACTTAAACAATGCGGTAAATTTAGGAAAAACTGCCTTCAATCTAAAGGAAATAAAGCAAGAGGGTATGATTTTTACTGAGTCAAATGAGTCATCATCCCCCATCTTGTCTGTTCAGAACAACGATATCAGGATATGTTAAAAACTCAACACATTGAGTATTTACGTCTGGTTAGTCCCAACCAAAATAAACTTTTATATTCGAGTACTGAGCTGTAGGATTCACTATTCCGGACAATCGTGCACACATTCACAGCTCTCTTTTATCAGCATTACCACTATCTTCTGAGTTGCCAGCCATCAAGCAACTGACAACTGTCTTAGATAATGAAAGAAGTATTTGTAATAGCTTAAATGCACAACAAAAAACATTAACTGGTACATGACTTTAAAAGTCAGGTTGGAGGCTGACGCTGACCTCATAAAGTCTTATGGAGTGGAGAAAAAGACGAACATGTTGTCAGCTTTTGAAAGAGTATAAAATATTATTTACGCGTAAACTAATCAAGGATTTGCGTTACACACATATCCAGAAATCTTTTCAAGAAAAAAAGATTTGGGATATATTCCATTTTGGAAGTGCTACATATATTTACTTTAACCTGTTTAATCTAGCCAACTCAAGAAGGGGCTGCCAATCCAAATACATGGAATTCAAGACGAACTTACCAACCATCCAAAAGACCGTTTCAGGCTTGTTTTAACCGTAGATGGCTGCATATGGTTTGGAAGTACATGTGCTTTCCCTCTTTCACCAGCAGCCGTTAGTAAATGTTTACAATTCCAGCAAGCTACCTGATCACCTGATCCAGTGGAGATGGTATTTACGATCAGTTGTGGCGCTAGGCAGTGCTTTGGACAGTGCATTAACAGCAACAACTTACGACATTTCAGTGCTGTGCTAACGGATAAAACGTTCCAATCCCAGTAGAGAAACGCCCGATTGGAGCACTCACCAGCACCACCGCACCAAGGTTCCTCCTTAACGATCACATCAGTTGTGGGGTTCAATGTGTGATAAGCAATATATTGATCTGCCTATGAATGATTGTGAAAATATGTGCATTTTCAAGAGGACCCTCAAAGAACGAAAGTGTGGTAGTCGTCTATGAGTTGATTAATCCTTCCATGATTAAATTCCCGCATTCCACGCTTAAAATGTTTCATACTGACTTTTCAAATGCCCATTATTAATCCCTTCAAAGTACTTCAACCAAAACTAGTCAAATAATACCTTGTGCTTCTTCCCCGGTTTGTGGTTTCCACCAATGTCCTCTTAACTACCGCAGTCATGCTAATAAATATACTGAAGTGTCGTCGAAGCACCAGCTTGAGATAGGTGTTTGGATTTTTTGCAAAAACCTCCATGAAATTCTGCAGCTCTTAGAAGGGCTTGGAGATTGTAAAGCAGCACTGCAGACGAATAGCTTTACCTCAAAATGACTCCATTACATTGACTTGGCGGCAAAATTTCGAATCAACATAATGGAATATAGTGCAACTCTGATATACGACACTATGGTATCGATAAAACTATACTAATCTCAGCGAGCTGAGATCACCTTCTTTTTCGCCGACCTCGGGGTCCCTTGCATGCTCAGGCCAGTGGCACGTACACGTTAATAGCAAAATTTGGTGCAAATGTTACTTCAATCGAGTCTGAAGTAAAATAGTGGCAGTAAACACGGGGATGGATAAGCCCTGAGCATCTTCGATCACGCTGTGCTGAGGCACAAGATCAAGTGCATACCTCACGCACGCACATGACTGCACGCGCAAGCGCGCACGCGTGAGCGCTCGAAACAGGCGCAGAGGTGGCGATGATCTACCGCACTGCACACCAAGGCACCATAGGTCACACATGCGTATGAGCGCACGCGCGCACAGTTCAGCAACCACGCCAGCTAGCCGAACACAATAGCGTCAGAAAGAAAAATCATCACGAAAACGGGAAGGCATAGGTAGGGGAAAAGTGGTGAGTGAACAAGCACGGAGCATGATGAAGTGAGACAGCACTTATCAACTTTACACACATGCACGCGCATAAATAGCCATACACCGTCTGCTGAGCTGGCAGTCTTTCGGCTGGATGATAACCGATCCGAAGGTGGCTGCCTCTTGGATGAGTGCGTGACCTCAACTTGACTCCACCTCAGCCAACCATACACAGACATATCATGAGAGTGAGCAACGTACCTAGCAAGTGCCCGCGCAGAGTAGCGCCACGAGGTATCCGGTTCAACGAAGTGCACTTCATAATTGGTATTGATAGCCTAAAGGTGAAATGGGACGCTTTACAGCATTAACATTCACAACATTCGTTTCAGGACCTAAACAGTGAACATCTACCTTGATTGGCAAGGGGCAAGAGGAATGTTATTGAACAAGTATCATATCGTGCAAGAGCACCATTGATTTTTTCAAGTACGCCATTAGAAAAAGGCAATTTTATAAAGCTGAACAAACATTCAAAATTTCAACCAACTTGGGTTATGGGTAGGCACTATTTGGTAAAGTGAAACTGGTGCAAGGGTCGACTGAATCGCAAGTGTTGATATTAGATCCCGAGACAGTACAATGAGCATGATTTTAAACGACTTTCTCACCTCGGATACGTAAGGCATCATGTCGGAGTACTTCAGATTTTCAATGTCTATAACAACAAAGCGCACTCCAGACTGCATAGCAGACCAAGCTGAAAGCAAACAAGGCACCACTTTAATAAAGGGGAGGGAAGAGTAGCGAGTCAGTGGGGCAAAGAGGGACATAAAACTCGAGTTTGCACAATTTGTATAGAAAGACATTTTTTGCTTGCAAAAATGACCAACCGGGCCTAGAAATGGGCTCATTCTGCCTAAAAATAATCGACACCTTCGACAAAGAATTCTCAAACTAGTAGCTTATTGAACAACTCAAAGGAAAATACGAAAATAGCGTCCTGGCAAGATTTATAAGATGAAAGAAATTGGCGATCATCCAATGGGTTAGGATCCGTGGAATGCCTCTTATGCACGAGCGATAGGTTTCTAAAAAGTGTGTACTAGAGGGCACTTTTGTCTCCTGATGGGCACGCGCTACTTGCAGAAAAATCACCTTATTCTCTCCAATGTATGCCGGACAATGGGAATTTCCCTACAAAAAAAAACGTTGACAAATATCGAATGTACCGACAATAATCATATTTTTTCGCAGAATTTCCTTTGCTGAAGTCAACCTACAGTGTTAATATTCAAAAAACGAACTATTGTCCTGCTAGAGTTGCGAAGGGATATTTTCATCTGCCATCAAATCGAGGCTTCGGACATTTAGACAGGACAGCGAAAACAATCGTCTTCAGGTGATGTCAACACCACGGCTACAGTACAAAAGTGCTTCATGCTCCCATTTGATAGAACACTGATTGAAATCTAAATACACTGTCAATAAGCAAAGGCATAAATGGATGATTTAATAGTAAGTCCAATGAAACAGTCCACCCTACCTAATGCACTTTTTGGCCCAACTAATAAAGCGACTTAAATGTATTTTTCTCAAAAGTGCAACTGACATCCGGGTTTCTTTGAGCGAATTCACGAGTGAGTGATTGATGGATAGACACCAATGATGATAGGGAAAGACAGGCCGTGTACAAACATTGCACTCAAGCCCCTGCGACAGGCAGATCACCATTGCGGGGGCGGAACAGGCAAAAAAAAAACACGGGCACACCTTCGTGTCACGGGTACGACGCCAACGGAGTCCCCAAAATGCACATCAAACGGCGTGTGTGTGGCTGTTTATTAGAGGGGAGTTTAATGTCTGGTCGTCATCGCATTAAGCATATCTTAGAGTCCAAGAGTAAACAAATGATGGATAAAGGCATCAATTGCACTTATCAAGAGATGAAACTGCTACCGATGAGAGTTTCAATGCATTTATCCGTTGCGCAATGACCAAGCAGTAATGAAGCAGTATGAGCAGTCACGACTTCAATGACACTAAGAATTAGTGATAGGAGAGAGAGAAAAAATACCAGCTTGTTTGCAAGCAGCGTGAGCGTCAGCCAGCATTAGGGAATCTGATGAAAGGGAGGTCCCTAAACGCCATTTGGGAAGGTGATCGTCCAGTCTAATCACCGTGGTCATAGTGGAATAGCGGGATCGCAGACGACTGAAATAGAGAGAGATAGTGATATTTTGAAGTTAGTAGAGCTACTTAATGAGTGCAATGATGCTATTGCTGCCAAGTCTTAGCTACTAACACCTTTTTTTTTTTATCACGGACCAGTTTTTACTAGATTAATACCCCCGTGATTGTCCGGGTGGGTCAGGACTCAAACCTATAACAGTGGGTTTCAAGAGACCGTTCTTATCTAATCATTCTATCGAATGTTTGCGACAGTCGAAAACAATACGTATTTTAGTGCATGCAACGATATGACGTTGCATCCATATGGTTCAATATTACCAAATGACTAGAACGAAAGGTGTGCTTCAAGGCGATACGGAGAAACCTATCGATTCAGCCACTTAATCGGTCCATATGGCCCAACTTTGTAAAAATAGCAACGGCGCCAAACCTTATCGTTAGCTCAAGCTGTTACTACAGGCTTCTGTTATTATCCGAATCGGTCTCTTCTCAGGCCTCCTGCACGGTAGGTGGCTTATTTTCACGACCAAAATACCGTTTTAGTGAACCGTGCAATCAATGGCTGCGTTAATGTTTCGAGGATACGCGAGACCTAGTCATTTTTTGTAAGAATTGGTCGAGAAAATGTAAATCACGAGGCATTCACAAATTAAGAATTTGGAACAGCTAGTGAGATACCAGTTACCGTGTACTCTCGAGGCGATTACTTTAGAAAAATGGATGCTATGTTTTTAATGACCCGACATTATTGGGTAGCCACACTCAATGAAGACTGCTTCATGTATTATGCAAAGAGGCTACATGAAGCAATTTCCCTCCGCTGTTGCGAAAACAAGGGAGATAGCGCAACTCGCCGAAAGAGCATATTTAGGAGATCATGCAACCAAACAATCCGTCTTCATACTCACTTTGCAAGCTTAGATTTCCCAGAACCTGGAAGCCCTCGAAGGAGAATCAGTAGGCCGGTTGCAACCATTTCCCGATTCGTGAGAAAATCAGCCATTCTGCATTCTAGATTAGGGAGCGGAGTGAAGGCCGATGTTAAGAGATTTTTTTCTCTCCTTTCATTTTGATCCTGTGGATTCGTTGAATTTGTATCGTTGGTAGATGAGGACATGGGAGCAGTAGTAGTGCCTAGGTTAGAATCACAGAAAGTGTTAAGCTTTTGTTGTTAAAAAACTAATGCTTTTTACCCTTGATAATCAGTAGCAACCCATCTGGCATGAATTGTTAGGATCTCACCTAGTTCCTACTAGGTTAACCGAAACGCCAGACAGGTAGGTTATGGGGAATTCGAAAATTACAGATGCGAGATTATCAACTGTTCCCTGAATCAAGTGATCAAACCTGGTAACTGAGGTGGAAAAATTGCTTTGCTTGCGCTAAGTGGTGAGAGGAATTGGCCTTCTACTGCGTGGGCAGACATGAATGGCACAACGACATCCGCAATTCAAGCACCTATTATTTTTGCAGACACATGGCTGGGCAAAGCGAGGCTCTAACAAAGATTGTAGACGAACACAACACGCTGGTCACAAAGTCAATAAATGCAAGGATATTCATGGTACTCGGTCGCAAGTTTTTGAACGAACAAGCATGAGATGTGATCTCAGTAATGTTTGAAGAACATATTTGGAAGTCTGATTTTCGTATAGAGACCACTTAATTATGAAAAGCACAGTTTACCTCGAAGAATCTCATCAGACATCGCATACCTTGGCTCAGTGTGTAATCACTTTGCTCAAACCCGAGATGTTTGATCTCGTAGTCGAAGAGCAAGAAAATTCCCAGGCAGAGAACATTTTATAAAATCAAAAACAATGTTTTATTCGTCTCTGCATCTTCCATTATCGCGTGGACAAAGCATATATTCCAATAAAATAGAATGGATTGGAATTGCAGCTAGACATGATACTCACGCTCAAGGGAGCTTAGGTTTATTCGGAAAAAGGAATGGTAGTGGAGATGGGTTGGAAATGTAGTAACTGTAGCACAAAACGAAGCATACAAACCACAACCTTTACTACGGAACTCAAAAGAGGTTAAATTGCGTGCACACTTTATTGAACAAATACAATAGCACGGAATCTGTGCTGTGAAAAGAGAAAGACGTTAGAGCACAGCCTCCCAATAAAAGACAGATTGTAAGAATACTTTCGTTAGGACGATAATGTTAAGCATTTTAAAATAATACATTCAACACATAGAAAATCGTAACGATACAAAGAATGCGGAAGGACACCTTCCTTCTACATGAAACAGCAACGGATTGAGACTGAGCGAAGATCTAGTATTTTAATGGATTATGGGATGGAGCCGTCGCAGCCGCTGTGGTTTGAAAGACTCCTGAGGCACTCATCCCGCCCTCAAAGCGACGAGATTGGCCAATTGGCTGATAGTAGCCTGCATTCGATGGCCAGACGGAGGTGGATGCATTGTAGAGCTGATGGGGGATGGTTGAATATGCCAGCTCCGAAGATCGCTGAGAGGTCTCGTTCATCTGTGAACAGTGCCCCTGCCCTTGCGGAGATCCTTGGTCCTTACGAGACAAAGTACACGTACGTACTGATGTTTAGCCTCAGACATGAAACTATACCAGATAGCCTATAAGGACTGCTGAACTACTCATATAAAGAGATCTAGGCTCCAAAAGCCTATGAGTCCCGAAGTAAAGGCCTTTGATAAAGTTTAAAGCGTAGAGAATTTTGTCGTGAAGTAAGTGACTTACGAGTGATGGCTGTTGAAAAAAACAAGGCTGTTGGTAGTAATCTTGAGAGGGGGCGCTGGCAGATGCGCTTAGAGGAACCTGTTCATACGCATTTCCTCCAGTTGGGAAAGGTAAAGAGTTTGGCGACTGCCTCTCGTAATGGTAAAAAGGCATCACAGTTGCTGGTTGGGGTTGAGGATGGTAGAAGGAATGCTGTTTTCCGGGTGTTGGATACGATCTTGTGCTATCTAAGACAGGATAATAAGATAATAAATCGGAGTGATGAGTAATATTTTGAGTGTTGTGTAAACCAGGAAGACAATGAACAGCATTGAAGAGAGCTCCTTTCAAAGATTGCTTGCTTTACATCAACTTCAGTATATCAATTCGACAACTAGTTTATGCTGATAATGTGCCGTTGGTCAGATGGCACACAATTTGAAATAAGTACATCAGAATACTGCATTGAGAAGAAACAGGCCAACTGTAGTGTACGTTAGACTAGTGATGACTTGATTAAAAAACACGAACAAATGGATCCGCACAAATGAAAGATGTACGCTCAGATAGGACAAAGTGAAAGCCATAATAAAGGTTCCGCACATGTGTGAAAACGGGGGCTTGGGAGGGTCGGCCCATTGTCTGACCAGTACAAAAGTCGTCTACAAGAACACACACCGAATCCTCTTGCTTCAATGGAAAAACTCATTTATAAGACAACACTTACCACATCGCGGTGCGTATGGGTATTGGGAATTGTAATTACAACGGCCATTCAATTGGAAAGAATGGTCCCAATCACCTGGAGGTGAGCACCGAATGCGATTCACTTCAGACGGAAAACTGCTGTGGTCCTTTCCAAACGGTGACTTGGTGGGAGGGTAAGGGGGTCGGGTACCTAAAGTCACAAAAATGCACATCCTGAATCGCACATAACCCTGAGAGCTCTAACCAACTCAGAGGAACATCAGAAATCCACAATTAGAAAAAATGGAATGAGACAATACTAGATGAACACGAAGAGGTAATAAAAGCTGGGAAATGTGTTTCAGCAGAGCATACAGTGCCAGTTCTGTGACAAACACGTGACTAAACCATCAGAGATGAATACACACAAAACCATTCAACCGGCAATATAAGTTTGAGAAGGTGCATATGCAAATCTTACCATATAAATCAAGTTGACTATATTATGGTTGAAAAATGCAAATAAATCAGTGCTCGCGATTGGGATACCAAAATCTTTGTAGGGCAATTAATGATAACATTGCAATAACAAGATAATACTGTGCAGGACAGGTAAAGCACGTTTTAGAACCACCCATACGAGGCACACCATTTGGAGAGTCGACAACCACAGATGAGCTATTGAACATAGTGCCTTGAAAAAGCCACTGGGTGCTGGAATCAGAGGGTTGTAAGTGGTGCTGGCCGTAGCTGTGCGAAGGAAAGGAGACGGGTGAGGAACAATGGAGGTTGCTAGACGGAGGTGTCACGGCAGCTCCAGTCACACAGCCTCCGTTAGAGAAGGATGGAGCGGAGATTGTCGAACTAGTCTCATCAGGAGAGAAGTGATCTCGACTGAAAACTGCTGCGTTAGCCTCGAGGGAAGTGTTGACGACGTAGACAGGTGAAAGTGCAGGCATTGATGCATATATCTCTTTGAGGTTTCGCGACATAACTTCCATGGCGTCATCAAAGAATTCATCGGATAAACACTCTCCTCCCTCGTTGCACGCATCATCGAAGGAGAGAAAATTCGGGCTCTGATTCAATGGGGTTGCTAGGAGAAAAACACCATCAGGTAAAAATAATACAGTATCACGATTTCTCATTTAATTTTATTTTTTTTCTGCTTACATTTATGGGTGCCTGCAATATGACGTTTTAAGTCGGTCCTTTTGGTCCCAATGAAGCTGCAATAAGGATGGGGACACTTGAGATTCGATGAAGCACGATGGTGATCATTGATATGATTGTCGAGATATTTTTGCGAACGAAATGCCCTTTCACAATCTGGAAAACTGCAACGATGATTCTTACTAGGGTCGTGAGTATCATTGTGGTGCGTCAAGAGTAGTTTAGTTCGAAAAGTTTTCGAGCATTTGGGACACATATAAGGTGAGGAGGAGCTGTTAGAAAGAGAGTGAGCATCATTTGACCTATTCAGTTTTCCGTCAACCTGGGAATCGATTGGAGGCTTATTAGGACTGGGTTCAGTTAAAAGGTCGGTCATTTTCGAATGGGAACCGGATGCAAGGGCACGGAAAGGCACGTTACTTCCATGAACCCGTCCTCCACATGGGTTGCACTGCTTAGCGGCGCAAAACGAAGTTTGTTCTCGATTTTCACGCTTTACAGAAGATACCACTTTGTCCGAATCAGCCTGAGTAACGGGGACGCTGTATGCAATCGAATGGGACTCTGGCATCGGCTGATCGAGTAACAGTGATATCCTATCACTGTTGAAACCAAAATTAAATAGCTTCAGCCTTTTTGGAGATGATCGGAAAAGTGAATTAGGCTCTTTGGAAGCACTCCGCTTTGATGCCAAGTAATCGGAGTCCATTTCAGTTTTATCGAGATTCAGACGAACATACAAAGAATGCAGCATATACGGTTTATCTTCATTTATCTGCGAGTCGTCGGGCCGGAAAGTGCTAGAATTCGATGGAGGGGGATAACTTAAACTCCAATCGGAAGGAGGCTGGCCCATAATAATTTTAGAATAACGGGACTAAATCAGCTAAAACTAGGACGAGGAAAAGCAAATCCACAGAGAAGGTCGCAGGAATAACAAATGACAATGATAGACTACCTTAACCATAACTCACCCAAGATCTGTCGAAAGCACAGGTCAGCATTTCAAATAGCGGTATTTCATCGGAGATTACTTAAACACATGGTTTTAAAAAAACCGATTAGAAGTTAAAATGGTTGGTTTATTATTTTTAACGAATATGAGCAAATTGTATTTAAGTCACATGCAACACCAATGTTCATTCGATTCAAGTAATTTTCTTCAAAATGGCATTACGTAGAGAAAGAATTAGAACACAAAAGCTTCCAAGGACTGATCCGAGCCAAAAGTTTAAAGCAGGTGCTCATCACAGGAATTTCTCAACAGATTCCCAACTTTCTTAAAGCCATAGTAGGTCATGTCGACAAGGGAGACCCAACCCCAACGCATCGAGGAGCTAGGACATGCACACGACCAAGGAGGCTACGCATTATGCAGCACCATACCCCAAGATGGTTGCAAAGCCCACGAACCCCAACGAGCACTAAAGAAGAGCACCAAGCCGCGACACCAGACTGCATCCCACGCGTCACAGTCAGACGCACCAAACCCCCACCCCGAAGGCGTATCGGAGGGCAGAAACAGCGAAGACACGCCCAGGTGGCTGCAGACTAGAACCAGCACGCAACCCAGTCGCCACAGGCTGAGCTAATGCTCGCAAAGGCAACCTCAGCCGCCAGTCCTCAAGACCTGGTGGAAAACTCAAAGCCGCTCGCATAATGTAAGAGAGACGGACAACAAAAGTATAGTATTTACTATGGAAAGCATTGTGTAGCGATAAACTGATGTTCTTGCAAGAACACACTCCATAAGTGAACGGTGAATCTGAAAGGAAAAAAGTGGAGCAAACTCAGGATCATTTACATGACAGCCGACGCCGATTTGCTGCCCTGCGACCGGCAATCAACAGCAAACCCTATGAACCGAGAAAAAAGATACGCAAAGAAATCTTGTACGGAAGAAAATTGTGATCTGTGCCATGAAGAAATTAAAATGCGCAACAAGGCATCTATTGACTCCTGTCAGGAAGTGAGGACTAAGAAGAAGCATATTTACCCAATGGCTCATGTTGTACGATCCGGTGGGCTGAGTTTTGAGATGAAATTAATAGTACCGTGAATGGTAGATTTGACGAAGTGGGGACAATTATGATGATTGGCTAGTTGACAAAATGCGATTCGAAGCTCAGAGAATATACGTCTAAAAATGAAAATTTGTTAAGTATTCATGAATAAGGTAAAAAAGACGGGTTTGCAGTTGGTAGGAGAATGCACAGCCGTATCAAATAATCAACGCTACCCGAGGGACTGGAATACACTAAGAAGTGTAAATCAACAAGCTCTAGAAATTCATTAAGCTTACCGACAATATGGATTTCGACGAGATGCGTAACGAAGTTTGAGGAAATGGTAATAGAAGAAAGGCAGAAGTAGAGTGCGACCAGAGAAGGCAAGTACAATAGAGATAATCATTAGAAGAATTTCATGAATGGCAACAATACGCAGTATGTTATCACCCTGACTTTGCGCCTTAGAAACAAGGTCACGTGCTTTCGTTGCCCAAATGGGTGGGATTTCTGCCTTACCGACGTATATCTACAGAAACAATGCAGGGTTGAATAAGGCATTTCAGTAGGACGAAACAAAGACCATGTTTACGCAAACAATATAAAAGGCAACTTTAACGAGCTAAGGAATCTTAACACAGAGAAAGTTCACCAACCGTTAAGAGATTCTGGGTGAACCCGAGGCAATGAAGGGAAGCAAAGCAAAATATGGGAGCGAGAGCGACTAAAAATAACATGAAAAACGTTAGTGCCATACATTATGCTTGCTTAGGACAACACATTCAGCAGTAGAAATTGCCCGACTGAAAATTTTACGTTGTTTAACAAAATGAAACACCCACCAAAATTACACAATTTATCCACAATTTAGAGCTTACCAGTAACTGGAGGAGTCAGTAGAAAGATGATGGAATAAAGAAGATAATGCAGAGAATCCTCGGAGACAATTAGCTGTACAGATTCCTGTGATAGGCGTGGTTGATTCCCACTTTGAGCAATACGTTGGTGTAATCGAAGTGCAAAAGTAGCTGCATTAGCAATAATGGCACGCTGATACCATGGATACGTGTTTCCGAATAATGAGCCCAAGAAATAAAAGAGACAGCTGAATATCGTGACAAGCCTGGTAATATACATTAGCGTGTTGGACCAGTTCGACGCAAGAAAAGTCTAGGGTAAAAAATGTGAAGGAGTTTTGCGTGATTAGATGATACATCGCACAAGAGAAGTATATACCTTAATGCCTTGATCAGATTCAGCCGAAGCCATCTGGAGCAAACGAAAGAAAGCCCCGCAATTCAAAAGTAGGGGGAAACCCCACTTCATTGAAATGAACTGTTGGGCAAATGATCATTCCACTAGTGTAATGAGCAAAGTGTAAGTTTTTTAGAAAATAGGTAAACGAGTCAATTTCATGCCAATGACGTGTTTTGGTAGAATCGAATACTGCCTCAGTACAAGTGCACTTTACTAAGAGCGGTGTTCTTCAGACATTGCCCCTAAAATTGCTTTTTAGGAGGCTTCGATGCCAATTTTAGTCACGAAGTATCACGAAGGCTTTAAATTAGTAAGTGTTATACACACTTTTATACATTTATTGCCCTTAGGGTTTATCCTTATTCTACTTGACGCCCATCCCTTAAGACACCGTGGTAAGAAACTCATATACTTAAGCTATACGAAATTTCGAAGGTAGCTTCTATTGCATTGAATCAAAGACCTCAAGATGGGTCGTTTAGCTTTCTCATCATGTGACATGCGTTAGGGTACGGGGGCTATTGGCCAGTCCGGGAGGACAGTCCAACTGGCAAAGGTACCCTAAGGGGGGATCCAAAGTGCCCCCTTTACCAGAAAAGGAGGTGTAACAACCAAAGTATAACAACTGCAATTTAGCGCAAAAGACATTCAGGACAAAAAAAGACGGGGCAAACTTCTCAAAAATATAGTTTTTTTCCAAAACAGGGGCTTTTTTGACATAAGTATGAAAAAGTTAAGTATTATGTAGCGTCCCGGGACTCCCTGAAGACGAAAGAAGACACAATACTCGGGCAGAATATATATATTCAGCACGGAGAAGGTGTCTGGGCTATTGGCATGGCCCAAAAGGTCAGCCCACCCAGCGAGGTACAAGGGGGCTAATTCGAAGTACAAGAGTGGCGCCTCACCAGAACCGAGGGATAAGCCACTATCGTATTACAATTATAATCGAAAGTATTTCATTGTAATGTCGTAGTTGCGTCGGCGGCTGAGTTGTAAGTGGGCAGTAGGGAACTTAAAGAAGAGGGAGCAAGGTAGCTTTGCGGTTTTACCGAATATTTTTGTAAAAAGTTGCTTTCATGTTTTTTGAAATCCAAACTCTTGGAATACTTGTCGTAGCTTTGGGGGATTGGTATTTATGTAGATCTTTTTCTGAATATCATTTACGGAGAAGATCTAGACTTTACTATGCACTTTCACTGGGAGATTTGTTTTTAGGTGATGAATTTATGCATACAAATAATTTGTGCGGATTTCACTTATTTAGTAGTCCAGTGTTGCTGGAGCTCATAAGATCTCTTGATTCTTCAAGGTTGCTGTCCTACATTAGCCGGTTATTTCATCGTCAGCCATATTTTTTCCTGTCAATTTCTTACATAAGCTAGCTTCTTCCTTTATTTCAGGGGTCTTCGACGTATTCGAAATTACTGTTTTTTGTGTTTTGCTACGAACATGGCCAGTGCAGTGTTGTCCCATGAGGGCTAAATTTTGTTACCGGGAGTGTCACCCACTCTTTCATTTTTACAGGAAAAATCAGGTCTCTAAAATGGAATCGGATAGATTTGACTACCTCTTCAAGTTTCTGATTATCGGCAATGCTGGAACTGGCAAAACTTGCATCCTAAGGCGTTACACTGAGCGGAAGTTTTTTCCCAACACACAACATACTATTGGGGCTGAATTTGGTAGTCGAGTCATCAGTGTGGATGGAACTCATGTAAAAATTCAGATTTGGGATACTGCAGGTGAACTACTGGGCATATAATGACCTTTGGTTCTTGTAAATCTTGATTTCTCAACTGTTCGATTATTATATCATCGTGGATTTGTATATCCTATTCTAGCATAGTTTACTGCCGAGCCAGATGCCACGGGGTTTCATCGCATTCAGACTCTCCTTACTAGCCCTATTTTTCCATATATCTTACAACTGTCGAAGTGGTCGTGACAACATTTCACGCATGCAAATTCTTTTCGTGATTTCTCTAGGACAGGAACGTTTCCGTTCGATGGCTCGGTCCTACTACCACGACGCGGTGGGCACTCTACTTGTCTACGACATCACCAACCGTACCTCTTTTGGCGCCGTCGAACAGTGGCTGGGTGACGCGCGTCAGCTCGCCACGCCTGGTGTCGTCGTAATCCTCGTCGGCAATAAGAAGGATCTCCAGGTTGACCTCTTTCCTGGCCTGCCTTTATCAACCGAGTAGTTACGGACGGGGCTTATTTGCATTTTCTAAGATAGAAATTGTGGTACATTTGCTAAATTGTTTAGTTCCGTATCCAGTTGACTGACTTGGTGCTCTTATACCATTATTTCGGGTTGCGATTAGCCAGGTTTCCGCACTCTTTTTTCAATGAGATATATACTAGTTTTATTGCTCCTCGCACATGAGCAGAGGATGGAATTTAGAAGGGAACGGCCACTAATGGCATCTTTTGTCCTTTGGGAGCATCGCGAGAGAGAATGACAAGTTAGTTTGTAACCTGTCGTTTTCCGTGTTTATTTCAGTTTTAAAGCCCTTGTAAAACTGCTCTTATATTGCACTAAAATGAATTGTACCACCCATTTTTCTTTATGGAGGGTCCAGTTTTTGTAAATGATTATAATACCATTTTTTCATTCTGTAGTTTTCGCAATCTGTCATTTTACGCTGCATTAACTGAGTCGACCGATGGGCACTGAATTTCTTTGTTAAGACACATATGTAAAATGGGCTGCACTTTTTTCCATACCAATACTTTCGTAAAACGGCATTGGTATCGTCACGTTTATGCAGTCGTCTACTTCACAGGATACGGATGGTCAAGTGACGCACTGGGAGGCGAATACATTTGCGCAGGAGAATGGGCTACAGTTTATCGAGACCTCAGCCTTGACGGGGGAAAATATTGATGACGCCTTTACATCGTGTGTACGGGTCCTGTTGAGCAAGGTGAAGTCAGGCGAGTTGGGCGCTGATCGCCTATTGGGCGGAAGTAACAAACAGCACCTCCAAGCGGTCAATCTCACTGCTACCGCTACGTCCGTCTCCGCATCGGAGTCCTCTGCTGCTACTGCTCATCCCGATACATGCTTGTGCTAAGCACTCCATCCCCATCGCCCTTCCTGCATCTCTACTGCGCTACTGCCAGCTGGTATTCTTTTGCCGTTTTAGGCTCAGTGTGAGTTCCATCTTACCCGCCTAGCGTTCCATGGACAATATCATGGAATCTTTATAAGCTCATTTTGGTGTTTTCACCGTAGTGGATCAGCACCCTTGATACCATTGAACACCCTCCGAAACTTCCTAGTCCCATTGTATCAATAGCAGATTCGACACATGGTAGGTAGCAGTGATGCACTTAACCAAGACCCATGCTGTTCGAGCTTTCTCATCATTTATTTGTATTGTGTTTAGTGTACACACCGCTAAGTTATTAGCTATGCGTCCTGGCTCTTGGCTCTAACCCCCAATTAAAAGCGGGACTTCTATTTATTTAAGCGTAGTGTTATTCCCACATTAAAGTAGGATATAGCAAGGCCATTGCAGAATCAGTTGACAGCATTCTCCCACTTTTCAAATAAGGCAAAAGGCTGGGGTTACTTTCCGCACTCGTGGTCAGGTGAGGTTGCCTCCGTGAATGTGCTGTCTTGTAATGCCGCCACCTTATTAGTCTTTTGCTCACTTTTAGGTGAACGACACTTCACACTACCCCCTTCACTTCGCCTCTGTTGATGTTGTGAAGTTCTTGGTTTTATTTCAGAAGTCGACGGAATCATGACGCTTTTGTTTTTGTATCCACTTTAACCCAACAACAATTCCACTATCGTGAAACATCTTCATCACGCTTTCCTCACCAAATGTCTGGATCCCTTTTCGATGACCCGAAGGGCTAAACACCTTCACCACCGGTTTTTGTCCTGTAATGCAAGACACCAAACTACCCTGGGTAATGTATTCGACTGGCTACAGAATTTTGCAATAACAGCGTATCCTCCAAGAGTAGAACCTTGGTTTTCAAAGCTTAGAACCATTTGGATGACATTCGTCTATCAGGAAAAACGATACTGTCTGAATGCATGGTATCATAATGTTTTATAAAGCTGCATTAGGGAATCGAAAACAAGTCTGAGAAAATAGTCATCTTTACGAGGCGCCACCCCTAAGCTGTGCCACTGTATCAGCGTTCACGAAGCCACATTCATCCGGCTCGTTGACATCAGGAACGCACTAAAAATGCAAAGGAATTTATTAGATGGGGGGAGGCTCGCTGCATTCACTCACAAAAAATTCAACAAAGGAGGAGGTTGAGTCGCTGCTCCCAGCTTGTATCATGTACTGCAACGAGAGGAAGCCGCGGTCATTCATGCGCAACGAGATGCGAGAAGAGAGGGCTAAGGCACGGTTTGTGGAGGGACGAAGAAGGGAGAGGCGGTAGCGCGCGACACAGGGCTCCGAAGTGGAGCACTCGAACACCTCGACGGGGTCTGAGTCGCGAGGGAAATCGTAGTGTGTCGTGCCTGCAAAGCCGTAGGTGGTGAGTCGCAGACGTGGTTGTGGAAGTGTAGGCGGAATGATAGCGACTTCGAGTACGTCACTAGTTACGTCCAGCTCCGAGAAGGCCTCTCGCATGCATTCGGGCTTCATGATGACTTTGCTGATAAGTTGACTACTGGTGAAGTCGAAATCGAGTACTTCGAGGGCATCCATGGTCTTTATGTTGCACTCTGCAACTACGCCACTGTCTTCAAGACTACAGCATTAGACTCAGACCAGTGCTCACAGTAGATCTAGGGTGCCACCATAATCCTTGTAGCAGAGGATCACCGAAGTTAATGAGTTGTTGTTGTTGACACCAAATACAGATAGACAATCCTAGAAGTGCTGACAAGTCATGGGCCTACGAGTAGAACGTTCAAATTTATCTTAAATGCAATAATAGGTTGCGTAATCCTGTAGTCCTGAAACATTTCCGACTGCATGAAAGCGCTTCCTTGGACACATTTTGCATCTTCGACGGTTACCTTCACCCCATTTTTGGAGATAAAGATTGTTGAAATCTAGGCGTTGACATTTCAGTCATTAACCACTTACATCACGAAAGTGTACTGCCTTAAGTAAGTTTACGCAAGCCCGTAAGTTATCAGTTTTGGCGTAGACCAAGGGATCGCCATCCGCCGCGGGCAAAGTCATAGCACAGAATTTGTAAACGACCCAAGCGGTGGGGGGACCAATACCCTAACAAGCGCGTGCGCAGATAACCAATCACTCACATTCATGGTCATCGATTTTCGAATTGCTATGAATGGTTCGTAAAAGGTTCTGTACCGGATATAAGGAAATTCTTAATTTAAGTTTATAGTGTTGTCATATACAACTTTAAAAGGTTTCTCTACAAGGTTTCATTCAAATTCCCAACGAGTAACAAAACCTTATTAAATATGGAGTCGGTGATCCACTTGAAAGGCAAACTAGTTGAAAAATTTCTATTCTGCGAACAAAAGATTCAATTAAGAGGACATTAACTCTGTATGTCTCTAATATAAATAAAAACTTGGGGGTGTCGTCAAGCCCGAATTTTCCGACGACATTCTGATGAGGTCACATTTCTAGAATAATTCAAGGGATACACTGCACTATACGTTTATTTGAATGTACCCTCTAGATGAGGTGCGTTCAGTGAACACGATTTTGGTTACGGATCGGTCGCTGTCTCCCCTTGAGGCCAAGGTGTACGCTGAGGTTGCGCCCCTTAGATCACTGTACCCTGTTCATAATATTGTAATACGATAGTGGTTTATCCCTCGGTTCTGGTGAGGCGCCACTTTTGTACTTCGAATTAGCCCCCTTGTGCCTCGCTGGGTGGGCTGGCCTTTTGGGCCATGCCAATAGCCCAGACACCTTCTCCGTGCTGAATATATATATTCTGCCCGAGTATTGTGTCTTCTTTCGTCTTCAGGGAGTCTCGGGACGCTACAATATAATCAATAAGGAATGCCACTACCTAGTCGCTTCACCCGTTCTAGGGTGATAAGGGCTGAGGATGAGAGGATGAATACCGGGCATACTACATTATTTTTGCAAAACGGCGAATGCTTAGCCCTTGCCAAGCGGACATAACTAAGCACAGCACATCTGTCTGTCATTAGTTCTGCTACTACTATATTTGACGTCGAAAACTAGCAATCCTTAGCTATGAACAATTTTCTCCTGTGCCATAAATTATGGCCAAAATCGGCAAGTTGTAGTTAGTCTTAACAAGAAACCAGTAGCCGTAGTAAAACGAAATTTGTGCTTAAAATGTCTTAAAAATAACAACTGGGCCATTTTAACTCAGAATTCTCTAGTTTAACCTTAGGTAGTGATACCACAAATAAAAATATCTAGGCATGATCGGTTTACAAAACGCGATCTGTGTCACCAGATTCCATTGTTTGCAACGCCAGGACGGTTTTTATTGGCCACTAGAAAAGCGGTACTTTTATAACAAGTTCGTGGTCTTTTGTTTTCCCTAGCATTGATGGACAAGTATTTGATATTGGGTTCCTTAGGTTACGCGTTAGTCTCTATTTAATTTGGTTTAATTTGGTCCAATGACCATACAGGGCGTTCTGGTAGGTGATTTTGGGGCTCTTCTAAGTTTGTTGATTATTTGACTTACCAATCTTTTCAGGCAACTCAACAGTTATATTGCCTCCTCTGCTTCAAATTTAGGTCTTATGAATTACTGCCCCAAGCAAGTATGCTAAATCTAAGCAAAGCCTAGGAAGTTCCCCTTACTTTATGTTTACTTATGTAAACATGATTAAAGTGGCCCAGTGAGGCTTTGCGTCCAAGCCTTGCCTTCAGTATTTGGTAGTAATGCTCTTCATTTGTTGCTGAAAAACCTTTCGGTCTACAGTAGTGCAACTCGTTTTTCTCAAATTGGATACTTCTGCTCGATTTCATTTCTGTAACTTAGAATTCCGGGTCATATGGGAAGTACCGAGTTCTTTTTTGCCCTATGATACCTTGTTATTCCTCTTAGGTATATTTTCTCGGTTGGCTAAATCGCTTCTCCATTTAGCATGTACACAGGCGTTATCGTAATACTAACTGCTGGTTTTAATTTCCCTCTTCCATCATTTGATTGATTTGTAATGTAAAAAAAAAAACCCTAATTTTGAAGCTGACTTTGTTCTGTAGGTTTCACTTTCGACGGTCATTAGTGGCGTTTATGTATTTCTTTAAGCCATCTGGTTCAATTAAGTTTTTGTACCTTGTGCAAATCAACATACTTCGCAAGTAGCGTTTGCGTAATGAGTTATTTTCGAAATTTAAACATCTTTGGAATTATTGGTTTATCCGTGACTTGTTTAGTCGTATCATGAAAATCGTGTATCAGCCATGTAAATCGCAGTTTAATAGTCACGAGTTTAATGGTTTCTCAAGTACTCCTAGGATCTTCCACAATGAATCCAGCAGTGCGGTCGTAATTTCAGTGGCGAAATATTGACAATTGTTTTGTTGCGCTATATATTGTCCTTGCTTTCTGGTGGATTCGGTTCATATTTTACCACTGCTAATTTTATTTTTCATGGCCGTTAATGTCTTCATGTTTTAGAACACAATGGCGGCAAGTGATTCTGAGTAAGTCAAATGCTCCACTTTAAAAGTTTAGATATCAGTGGTACCAGTCCGACTCGACCGTTTTTGTCTCAGTCATGCGCAAGGGTATCGATCCAGCTACTCTTCGTGTTACCTTTGTTGAGGATGCAGTAAACAGTCCTTCACTGACTCAGCTTATTTTACATTTTCTTAGGTCGCAATTTACATAAATAATGAACTCGCCAATCAAATTAACCTTGCTCACAAAATTGATCCTAGTAAATCCTTATACAAATGTACACCTATGAAGATTGAGCTTAAACTGGCAAAAACCGTGAGCTCAAATTGGAGCTGCTTGGAGGGGGTCGATCCTGCGTCATCACTCAAAGTAATTGGTACGTTGTCCTTGACAAGCTCCTATTTTTGGGAATTGTCGCCCTTTGGTTTATGATCATTTCGCCTTTCACATGCCTTTACTAGTAGGACTTGCCAAAAATGTAAATTCGTTTGCTGCAAACAACTCTGAAATCAACTATAATTGTAAGTCACAGTTTGCACTTTGATAAGTTCCTTAATAGACATTAGTTGATGGGGAAAACATATACAGAAGTGCCATGTGAGACGAGACCTTACTTACACTTTGAAAACTGAGAAATGTGAGATAGGATCTTCTTGAGTTCCCATAAACATCTACTGTTTTTCTCCAATGGTCTCAATTTTGTGGGATGCGTCTGCTAGGCCTTTCAATTTGCTTCTCAAGTTTCATCAGCTAACGCCATCAAGCGTTTTTTGAGGGCAGTACTTTTGCAGTCTATTTTACTGTTCACATTGTTCCTTACTCTTTCATGAGTTTCACTTGCGGCAGACGCATTTTAGCACTCTGCATTAACTCACGCTATTTTGCTTGGTTAAGGATGGCGTGGAGCAGATTAAAAGATGGATCTTGCTGTGTTCTCTCCTCTTTGAGCGTGGCACGGAGTCCGGACCGGGGCAGCGGTCTACTGCAGCGTGCCTTCATGGGCTCCTATGACACCTGTCACACTTGGACTTAAGCTATGGTGTAATACGTGTTTGTGATCGCACAGCCTCGCTAGGGCACCTCAATTGAGTAACACCTTCCAAGGGCTTGCAATCAAAGGGGCTTGGAGTTTTGGGGTTTCTCATAGGTGCTAGTATGAGTGCTTTGATCGTTTCATCTGTGGCCAATTTCTAGTGGCATCTGATTTTTGTATTGTGAGAAGGTAAACTCCAGAAATTTCACGCACCGGAAAGCATTTAGTTTTCTTCCATCAGGCATTGGGAATTAGACATTCAGAGTATATTGCTACGTGCGACCAGGTGGTTAGCCATTGACTTGATCTAATTCGAGCCAGATGAATATTATCCTGTGCTAGTGATGTGTACAATCCTCAGCGTAGTCTTCTTCCCATCTGAGTCAGCTTTTAGTGTGACAGGCCTTTCAGCACCGTGATCGGACCCGTTTTGTCCGTAAGGCGTGCGTGTATATGCGCATTGTATTTTGTCAGCTCAACTTCGCGTGGGCGTGCGCACTTGTGTTATGAATTCTCCTTTTTCCACATGACTAATAATGGTACACACTTGAAGCTGGTTAGGACTATTCATTCTCTACTTTTGGTTAAACGTTTTATTATTTTAGATTGAATAGAACACAAGAATTTTTGAATTTGAGCTATGCCAGTGGTTTATTCACCATACAGGAATTTCATTTTTGAGCTAAAACGAGTTTTTACCAATTACAGCTGTTCATAACTTGAGGCATTACATGGCTTACAGTCTACTAGGTCTTTTTTGCACTCAGGTTTGCGGTCTTGTAGTGTTTCTACTGTTTTGTGCGAAAGGGAACAGACAATCGGCCATGGGACTTATTGAGGTAATTCCAAAATCTGAGGCAGTGGTTTTGATATAGCCGGTAGGGAGGAGATTACTGTTTTCTGAAGTATTGATATTTCGTAGATGAATATGAAGCCTGTAGGGTGAGCGGCAGCTGACTGGGATTATCATAGCTGTGTTGCTGGATTCGCGCGTTAGACTGTAATTTGTTTCCAAAAATATTTTCTCATCGTTATCAATTGAGAGCTTTTGGTAACCTCCACTCATTGGTGGTTGTTTCATTCGGTTCTTTTAAAATCTTTTGGTAAAAAGATCCTCTGATTCTACTTCCTACTATGGGTCTTTTGTCCTACTTCAAGGTTAAGTAGGGGCCGCATGCGATATTTGAGCCTTACAGCTCAAAGATTGCCGTTCACTCCATCTTCCAAAGTGTTGGTCGGTACGACTCTTCAGTCCTCTTTATGTAGGTGTAAGTTTAATGGGACCTCAGCACTGTGATTTTTTACGGCTTAGCATACACGTTTTGATTATACATAAATTCTTTTTTGTTCGATGTCTCGGGATGGTGATGTATGCGTGGGTGGATCAGTGTAAGGCATTGTTTATTTTAAATTAATGCGCTTGTTTTTCGACAATTCTCGGGTAAACATTTGTGGTATATATGTAATGGTTACAAATAAATAAAATGATTGAGGAATTAGATTCGTGATTTCGTGATGGGGCGTTTTAGCATGTCAACCTAGGTATCAATCAAAATCTAATTACACTATCTCGTAGATTTTATCATCAAGATAAATCAGGAATTAAACATTTTCCAGCTGATGAATACATCATCATAAAGCACGTACTTAGAAAACCTGCACTTATTTCTGTGTAGTAAGCTGCTTTTCTCATCGGTGGAAATGTAGAGGGGCTTTTGCGAAACTTGGTGTTTTCTATATTGACCTGACGAAGCCGATTTTTTCACAGTATTGTCGTGAAATAGTCTTTGAACCAACTTTTTCCTTTGCTTCGGTAATTACCAATTAGTCCAAAAAATAATACAGTGCGGGACTTCAGCTGTGGCTTCTCTCCCAACAGCAGCGCAGTTTTTATAGCTGATTTTCGAAATGACATGACAAGTGTCTAACTGCCACACCCACTTTGCCCGATGATTCAAACGCAGTAGTTTATGGGATTGAAGCGGATATGAACCAGTGCTGCATCTGAACAAATGACGATGGATGGTATGATTTTCATCTGATACTGTTGCAGTCGTTCACTTCGTATTTATTGAGTCGTTTACAGCTAACATTCTCGTTTTTCGACCTCGCAGTCCAATAACATTGGATCATTGCCACTTAGTAGATTCACGGTTTCATTCAAACGCCTGCATTGAATATATCCGGCATCTTTAGCGTACCAACTCTGCTGTTTTTTTGTAAAGGAAAAACCCATTGAGGTAAATCTTACTTTAAATTCCGTTCATAGCCTGTCTATTATGTCAATGAATTATGTACATTTCATAACGCCAGTGGCAAAGACAATGGAGCGTATGGTAGTTCAGCGGTCACATTCCTTTTGAAATGGCAGTGTTTATTACACCTAATGTGCGTCGTACCTTCTCGCTCCAATTTGCACGACCATCTGCTGCAAGAACAACTAGAGGTGCCCATATTGCTTATGGGCACTGTCCCTCTTCATTCATATACAATAGGTGCATTGGCAAGTCTGTTATGGCTAAGAAGTGGGAAGTTTCATCTGGTCATCATTGTTAACATTCTCATGAATCACGCCGCCGTCTGAAAATGTCCAATACTTGGCCACTTTTCGGGGATTTGGAAGTTCAAGCCTATGCTGCTCCGGTAATATCAATCCTAATTATTTGCGAAGGTCCTTTACATGAGATTTTTTCAAGAAACGCGTAAACGTTTTCCTCTAGTGTTGGACCCTCTCATTTGGTTACCAATATCGCCCAAGAGTTTGGTAAGGAAAATAAAGTGTTTCAGATCTTGGTGATAATAAAACTAGCCCTCTTACGAGTTTCTTTAGCTTGATCAGTTTAACCCATTCACTGCTCTATTATGTTTTCGTTCAAGCAATTATGAAAGCCCACCACCGTGTGCTATTGTGCTTTTTTTCCCAGTCAATTCTACTCAATCTGTTTTCAAAACGACTTCTCTTTTAACATATCGGAGTATTATGTATGTACTCAATGAATCGCAGATTATGCGCAACTTTCCCCTGTTAGATGTGTCTGCGCCGAGTAAGGATGGGGACAAACCGAAAAGGGTCAACAAATCCTATCATGACTGGGATGCCGTGGCTAAAGAGGCGGACGAAATTGAAGAAGGGGACCCCTTGAACAACCTTTTCCAGAAGATATTCAAGGACGCCAACGATGACACCAGGCGCGCTATGATCAAGAGCTTTGTAAGTGCATAGCTTGCGACTGAAATGTTTTAAACTAGTTAGTTTTCATTCTTACTGAAGGCTTTTGCTTTCACGACCAATTTTCCAACTTCTTGCCATATTCTTGGTTCTGTCACTCATCACTACCCCCAATACGTCATATTTTGGTAGTTTCAAGTTAGTAACATGACAAATCCTTAGTTATAAACAATGATATTACATTATATTGTGCCAAAACTTTCATATAACTGTATAATATTGCCTCCTATACAAACATTGCAGCAGTGTAGACTGCTTTTCCGTCAATCAACTTTTTTAAGTATTCTCAGTTAGTGAAAAAACTTATTCCCCTCAGTTGTTAGTTTCAGTTTCCTTTAGGAGATCAGATTGTTTTTGTAAAAAGGGCCAAAGCTACATTACCATCACGTTTGTGCACCCGAATAGCTACCTCATTATTGAGTCAATCAATGACCTGACGCCAAATTGTTTTATAGTTAACATGAGTAATCCAGGCGAAAATGATCATGTATTTCGGATTTACAAATGGTATTAGAACTGTATGCTGTTTAATACCATATGGAACATCTTCGTATTCAACTGGTGTGATGAATTGTTGAAGAAATTTCAGGTTTAAATGTTTTTTTTTACTGGTTGTTTTAAGATTCCTCGTGACTTGCTAAGTTATAGGGGAGTTTTTTAATGAAGTAATAATACTTTTGTCGTGTGGCTCGCAGAGCCTTGTCCGGTGATAAGTGTAAGTTTAGATCAAGAGGCTTTTTTCGGTTGGATTTGTTATTTCAAGCCTTTTGACGTCTTTTTTTTACAGACTGAATCCAACGGAACAGTTCTGAGCACAAACTGGGACGAGGTTGGTAAGGGGAAAGTTGAGATGAAGCCCCCAGATGGCATGGAATATAAGGAATATCCTAAATGAGGATATAATGCCGAGTTTTGCTTGTTTGGTATATTTACTTTAAAATGTTCGTTTTGACTAATATTACAATGCATTCTGCACCTGAAGTTAATCGCTTTTGTTTCATATGGTTCATTGTTTAAATGCCTCATTTCGACTTTGCAGAGTGCGATTATTTCGTTTACACCGTCAAAGAAACGAGTTCGCACTTTGAAGCTGTTTAAGAAAGGCCAAGCTTAGCATCTATGGGGAACGACCGCTGGACAGGTTTAACACAAGTAAAGGCTTAGAGTTTTGAGATATTTAAATGGCACGGCATCTGTGAGTAGTAGGGGGCAAGTTTAATTACGATTAGGGTACATGCACAGTTCGCCCCGAAGTTATCAGGGGTACGGAAGTAAGGTTTTTGATATCTACATATTTCGGTTATGGTTATTTCCTGCAGTTCGTGGTTTTAATTATTCGGAAGTAAAACTTACCCGTCGTACAATTAAAGTGCTGTTTGCATACTTTGATTTATGTTAGACGTTTTTGAAAGTATCTGGTATAGTCTTCAACAAAAGTCGTCGAATTTGTGCCACCACTCAAAGCATTGGAGTAATTAAATAGTTTTCGGAAATAACCAGGTATAACTGTAATGCTCTGCTATAAAAATGCTATTTAAGCAAAGCCCTAACTAAAGGGAGAAGCTATTTTGGTCAATCAAGAGCCACCAGGGTGAATTAACGCTGAAGCACGTTTTCCAATACCATGCAAATTTGGGGAATGAGTAGAATTGGACGTAAAACAACTTCCTGGCGGCTCCACTGATCCACAGAGGGTTTTGTGGGGGCTCTATTACGGCTATGGATCCAGCAATACGGATCTTGGAACATAGTCCGAATAAGTCAGTGTTTACCAACAAGAATGGGAGAATGGATGCAAATGGGTGGAATTTGCCATGCATTCATTGGGGTTTATCTTTTCCAAGGTTCTCAATCGAATCGAAATCAAACTGTCTCTTAAGCTTTGGAAACCTCCGCTGGGGAGTTATTAAGCCAGTAATCTTTTATAAATAATCGGAATAAAAATTGAAGGAAGTAGAAAAAGTGCCCAGTGTTCTCGCTAGTTTACCGTGCAAGTCCCTACTTCGTGTGCAGCTAGGATGCGTGATCGAAGTCATCATACCTTAAGGTAGAGGGGTAGAATCTTGACATCTTTGGCATGCTCCTGTGGTATTCATGACGTAATATCAAGACGTCCACCATCGTGTTTCATTTGGGCGCCATCCAAACATAATTTGGCTCATTGGGCCACGTCTGATGATAGGCTTATTAAAATGTTTTAGGCAGCACTTACCCACCAGTAGTACCTTTATCCTGAACCAGCCTTCCTTGTATTGCTGGATGTGAGTTTGGGTTAGGAAATGTGTTTGAACTGCGGTTACTTGCCTACATGAGTCGCTGTTAACATGATGGGAGGATATAGGGGGCTTCCATACTTTATACTCCCATAGTGACGAAAAATTAGGTGTCCATTTGAACTGGAACGTAATGAGTCAAATCAAAGGAGCATGTTTTGGTGTAAGATATACTGGGTTTTGAATCAGCACTTTTTCTGCCTACTAGGTGGTAAATTGCGAATTCCCCTCTGTTTACGAGAGACTGTGGCAAGAACGTTAGACGTGTGAAGATAACGGAATTGTGTTGTTCTCGACTAGCGAATAACGTGATCAATCTCTGAACCAAACGAAACTTTAATTGGCAGCGTTTTTTGGAAAGGGTTTTACGCCACTGGTGCACTACTTTGTAGACGAAATTCAGCTCCATCCACTGCATAATATAAATGGGTGAAGCGGGGCTCTTACCGGATACATCTGTTAGTTAAAAGTTCTAATCCAGTACATACCTACATACCCTCCTCTCTTATGGATTTATCAATAAAGAAAGTCATAAAATTCAGTGTTTTTTATGCATGATATAGGGTCACTGACTTGTGACTTAATTTTAACCCCCAATAACCACCAGCAATGAAGCATACTTAACACGTTTGATTAAGGTCATTAAAGTGATGTCTAGCTACTGATAATGTAATAAAAGATATACGGTTGCTAGCCGACTGTGTTTGTAGCTCTGTGTCTTCAGTTTATTTTCTCGATTTATTTTTGTATTCTCGCCTTACAAAATAGGGCTATCGAAGCATCCGCTGTGTGTACTGTCGACTACAAACGCTCCCCAATAATGTTAAATACCTTGGGTTTGCCTTCTAATGGAAAACTTTATGTATCGGACCCTGAAGAAACCACCTTTTTACTGGATTCCACCATCCACAAAGCAAACACCGAGTTCCATTTCAAAGGAGGAAGCGTGTTCCATGGAATTTAATGCTTAAGAAAGTTGACTATTTAAATTGATTTGAATATAAGGAGTGTCTTATACTTAACTAGCTTACAAAGGGTTAGCTTCACCCAAACAGCCTTTGATTTAGTTGTAGATGAGGTATAGGATGAATAGCTCTTCCGTAATCCACTCACACGAGCCTTTTTGGTGTATCGGCACCAATAGATGCGATCGTTGGCACCTGTTTGAGAGTATTCTAAAATAAAGCAGGAGCTCATTTTATGGCCTTCGGTTCTAAGCCTTAGAGCCAAACGTGATTCCGTCACTGGCCCCCGCAATCCAGTGTTTGCGTAGGTGTTTATTGGCAAACTATCTATCAGGACCTTTAATTGTTTCCTCGTGATGACAATTAAATGAGTTCCTCCTACGTGATCTCAATGGAAATGTGGGTCAGCTGAAGTAAAAGCTAACTTGTAGAGATTTGGAGCTCGGCTCGCTTCCGCGATTAAAAACCTTTCAGTTCGATAAGGGCTGAGCCCGCACTAGCCTCCTTCATGGTTCTTCCTGTTATACTTTACTAAACCACCATTGACCCAAAAGTGATGTCACTGATTCATCCTTGCCTGATTTAACAGAGTACATTTTTTGCGAACCTTTGGATAATCGCGTTGGCTCAAGACGGAGCTGCTTAACTTGGGGATAAAATGCAACAATGTTCCCAAAACGAGTTTCATTATTAAAGGTGACGGTTATCGACAACCAAACGCCTTGAAAACACATTACTTCATGATTTAAATACTCCTTATTTTCAATTATCCAAAAAACGGAGAAGTTTATTTGTGTTGTGAGTTCATTCAGGCTTTGTTAATGGGGGCCCACCATTCACTTTCCAACACCCAAGGTCTGTTCGCTCAAGCGTTTACCTTAATCGAGGATGGTGATTCAACACTCGAATCACCCAAACACCGTGAATTTATTTGGTGAAGTGCATCTTCCCAAAATAACATCAGTGGTTTAGAGGTAAATGGAGTACTTTGTGATTATTTTTCAAAGTACTCCTGCGATAAGCAAACATTTGTCACATTTAATCGCCTTAAAGTGGCTTACACGAATACCATGCAGCGACGTGTAGTCTGCGCACCACTTAAGGAATTCGCACGGAAAATCTCGCAATAACTCAACGTGCAACTCTAATATGGCACAACTGGCTAACGCAATTGGTTTTTCACAATGCACTTGACTATGCCGGAAGGAGCACCACATCCCTATTAGGATGCCAGGCTGACCAGCATTGGGCTCGTGGTTATACCAGCAGTCGTCCGGATTAAAGTCATATGGCACCAAGCGGATAGATTGTGTTCGTGGCTAGGACCTAGACGTCTCGCTGAGTGACCGTGTAGAGGCGCACCCAATGCGCCTATTAGCACAGGTTTAAGCAACGCTTTCAGATGCACCACGACTACTCCACTTTGGGATGGATGCACCAATCAACAGAGCAGTATAAAGTCGATTTTCGTTGTCGGGTCTGAGGCCTTGGCAGGCTTCAGAGCAAGCGTTTCTATACTAAGGAACAAGTATACTTCTGAGTGGTTGAGACACTCGTTCACCAGACACAAATTGTTGTCTTAAAGGTGGTTTTTGTAAGATTGTTTAATCAAAATCAAAATATTTGCATTCAATTCTAGTCGCGACTGTCAACATTAGGGCTAGGAAAATGAATCGTGGTGGAATTCTGTTGTTTCACGATCGTCAGAGCACAGTATATGAGGAAACTGCAGAAAGTTAGCTTAGACTATGAAACAAAGGAGACCAACGATATAACCGAAGCTAAAGTACTTGGGAACTACGTACGAAGGAATACTTCGATAGAAACATTAAGAAACGTATTACGTGTTATGGGATTGTTGTTGAAAGGATTATACAACGGTTGAAAGGGAATTTAAAAATTTTAGGGAGTAGCCCTAGTCAAGATATCCTTTATAAATTTATGGCAGTTCTAAGCCACTTGTGTAGGAAAATTTATGTTTGATGGAAACTGGAAAAATGAACTACCTGTAAACACTAAATATGGAAAAATACACACCTGAGGAAAATTTACATGCCAGAAATTGGGTCGTCTTATGGCGAGCACAGCATAGCGGTTAGCTTGTGTTACAAACAAGTAAAAACTATGTCCAACAGATCTGTGATCGAATTCAGGTAATGAACTTACAAAAAGCAAATTGTCTAAGGTTTAGCAGATAGATGAAAATTCACTACCGGTACCGGGTCCAGAACATCTCAGTAAAATATAAATGCCGCCGCGTTTGATAAGACCAGTAGGGGAACAGAGTCGTGAACGCCGAATTTGCATGACAAAACGCCGCTAATGAAGGATCAAGTCTCTATAACAGGACAAAAAGTACATCTCAAAGAAACATCCTAAAACTGTATGGGGATGAGCGGTTCAATAACGATTGTGCAGAATGGACGATAGATTTGGTGTTGCCAATAAAAGAACCCATCCAACTATAGTAGGAGATCATCAACCGTGGTAGCGGCTTTTCAATTATTTCATTGATTTGTGACAAAGCAAAGATTGTCACGAATGATGAGTAAAGTACTTGCATTGTAAACTGCGTACAGAACGACTAATGTGTGCTAGTGATTAATTTGTTATGATCAGTATAAAAACGAATGCTAAATATTTCGCTTAAATGATAAAAAGTGAGGAAAACCATCATTTGCTTATAATTTCTGCTATATAATTTCTGCTATTTCAAAATGTTCTTAAACCAACCTTATGGTGAACTTCCAAGTTCTGCTAGGTTTGATCAGGAATTAGCCGAGAAGTGCAGGCTTATAGTAGCTACGTCTCCTTAATACATTGGCAACCACAAACCATATTGCTACGCACATTGAATCGCCAACACGCGCCTGTAAACAGGCCAGTCCGTCTTTGCCCGTTTGAGCAACAATGTTCATGATCACTACACCAAGAATGGTAGTGACACCAGTAAGCAATCTATCATCACACAATTCTTGATTTCCATATCTCTGGGACGGTAGAATGGCACGCCCATGCCGGATAACTTGGTGACTACGTCACAAGGTGAACAATTTCCTAATGAATTAACATAAGCGTTGACTATTTGCTGATGATGAAATATCGAAATTTATGCTTCCATGTAAAGTGAACAAGATAATCATTTCCCTGCTTAGTGGTAAACACAAAAATATATTTAACGCTTTGGCAATATTTTTCATCCAAGTATTGTTCAGATGGTACATCTTCCCACCAATGACTTTACCTATCAAAACCACTTCATTCCGTCTACTCACAATGCGTCTAGCCTACCATAGTGGCACATTTAATCGTCATGGAGGCCATCACATAAAGCGTAATAGTTATGAAGGTGCATACTCATAAATTCCTAAAACATAAGCGATGAAATTTCCCTACAAATACGTATCCTAAGTTTGTTCCCATTCTAAATTAATCTAATTCATTTAACTAATGCATGGGGGCGAAGCTTGGTGATAAGTCAAGTAATTTGCAGGAGGCGCTATCAGATTGGAAGCTATTTAAATGCAGGAAAGGCAATAGCTTTTGCGAAAACTGCTGTATTGTTAAAGTCAAAGAAATGGTAGCTGACTGAATGGAACTTTATGCGGGAATTTGTCTATTTAGCCTACTTCTCTTCCTTCAAATCCATAAAATCTCGTAACAATGCTCTTCTACAAAATTTTCTTATTCTCTTGAAGTTACTGCCACTAAAACTCTTTTCGATAACATTTTAACCAATTGGTGCTAACTGAGAGCTCCCAAGAAGCCATAGAATGCCTGTAAGAGCTACGCGAATGTATAATAGATCCCACTGGGACAAAACTAACGTCAAAAGTATGCAAGCACTGCAAGTAGCACAGCAAATCACCCGAAGCCATTATGGTCTGAACAAAGTAGAGCAAGAATGCTTTGCGGATAGTTTACTTACAAATTTTGGTCAGAGGGTGGACCAGATGGGCGCAAACAGACCCATATTCAACAGGAATGGAAAGTGAAAGAGCATAGCAGTGATGTAGGTGTGTTCAAAAAACATCACATTATTAAATTGGGTGTTGGTTAATGCGAAAAGTGTTAAAATTGGTTAAACCTAACATCCGCCTGTTAAATTTTACAATTCAATCGCCGACAGCTTTCGTCACAGGCTAAAAATCTATAGGACTCATAAAAATAGCTTTAATCGGTGGTAAAATGTTTTTTTTTTAACGAGATGGTTCGGAAAACTTCATTGTCCCCAAGTGGTGAGTCAAACAACTAACTTGACCTGTGATACAAAATGACCAATGCCACATACGTCACAATTTGGTAAAATCATGATTACTATAGACCCCGTAAAAATGCGCAAATCTGACCTCGTAGTCATCAATCTCATTTGAAAAGTAAAGAAGTTGGCAAATCAGCTTGAGACGGATGAGATAAACTGAATATAGTAATTTTAGGGTGAATAGACGTTGTGTATCAGTGAAACATTCAATCATACTCGGAATCATACAGCGACGACAAGGAATTTTGAGCCCTAACGCGCCCTAATAAAAAGCATACTGACCAAGATGAATAACGTATACTGATAATTTTTCACCCCAAAACGCTTGACCACTTGTTCCACCGACATCGTATTTCGCCTACAACTTTTTCTCGACCCAGTGGTTTTCATGGAGTTTGGAATGCTGTTCGAAGTGGAATTTCGTAGAAGGCCCAAAATGATGCAGTTCAAGTTTTTTACAACAACTCCGCAAGCTTGTAAATTAATGAGGCTTTATTGTCAACTATGATTATAATGTTGTCGTGGTTTACATTCATTTGTGCCATCAAATCGGAACACTTAGATATTGCGTATTACGCCGTTTCCAATGCTAAAACAGGACCGCTTTTACTTGAGAAAACCATCACAAACTTTATGGGCAATTTGTAACTTAAAGTGGCGTTTGAGATGGAGCTATGTAGATTAGCGAATACGTAGTGTGAAAACAAGCTATTTCTTAATTCAACTTCTTTTCATACTTGTCTATCTATTAAAGAAAACCTAGTCGCAGTATTTTGAGGTGAAATAAGGCACTTTACCGAGAGTATAGGGTAGTATTCACGAAATCTTACAAAGGAAGGCTTAACGTAATGACCTCTCTTGGTGTTTTCTGACTCATTCCCAAATAGGCAAAGATGCAGCACGTGACGGCACCACTTGAAATGTTTCAGCAAATCCCGCAGACTAAGTAAAACTATGAGTAACCAAAAAACGGTGTTGGAATTCGGATAGAAGTTGAACACTACCATTCTGGGTCTATTCAAGTAGTAATATCTTAAGGGGCTTATTTTTATGAATGATCACGTCTACTGTCTCTTCGAAAATTGGATACATAACCATACTTAACTTCAAACTAGGTCTTTGCATTGAGTCGCACTAAATAAGTTACCATTTGATTTGTGATTTCCACTAATTATCCGTTTTTAAAAGAATTTCAGTGACGACCGGTAATGACCAACCTTTTACCCAAGAAGGTCAAGTTAAACCACACAATGTATAGTAAGGATTGCTTAAATGAAACTCAATTCTGCTGACGGAGCTTCATTTTAAGCCTCACCTACGCATGAATTTGATAATGCTAACAGAAAATCCCCCACTGGAGTCCCACGGGACTGGTTCTCTCAGCTCGCCCACCGCTGAAGGTATTTATAGCACTACAGGCTTGCAATCACATTTATTAATTGTTCGTTCAGCCTTTCAAAAGCATGAATTTTTTCCAAAAATTCTAAAAACCTCCTATGAAGTGTGTTGTTGATGCTTTCGCTTGCACATTTTGCGCCTGTCAAACACCTTCCTCTGCCAAAAGATAGTAGAAGGAGGCGACACTGTTGATCTAATGGACTCCCTCATCGTAAAACTGCAAAAGGTTGAGTGGATGGTTTGAACTAAAGGGAGTGCTCTACTATTAGATGATGCATCGTAACAGAGAAGGAACCATGCAAAAGGTGCCATAGAAGCCGTATCCAAAAAGACTGTCGGCTGAGGTATTTTTAAGCCATCGTTAATTAGAAGCCGACACTTCCTTATTATTTTCTCCAACTGTGGCATACAATCAACCATTCTTTTGAGCGACTCCTAGAACACAGGTAATAATGCAGATTCTTTAAAATTCTACTCTTAGTTCGTGGCCAATTAAAACATTTAAGAACTTTAGCTTCAAGTATCTTTTTGCAACTGAACCCTAAATCAGCCGTAAGTATGCTTATCTGAGGATACTACGAAAGTAGTTTCAAACGATCCATTGAGGGTAAAAACGTTTAGGCTTATTAAAACAGCGTGCCAATCAAATACTAAAAAGGAATTCAATAAACTAACTCTAAAAGCACCCGATCCTCCCCTGTTTGCCAGTAAGGGAATTATGCTTCAAATCCGTGATTAAGAATTCATTCGAATAAAAAGTCCAGTTGTCCAATATAATTACTCAAAGTTGGTCAAAAATAGTTGTGGCAATTTAGTTAAGTGTCCGAATTTAGTTTTAGCTGTACTTCCAAAAACAAATTAGTGCAGTTTGGCGTACAGGTAACCTCGCCTTCTGATTAAAATGTTTAACAGATAGTTAATATTAACGAATACAATCGCAAAACTGTGAGGTAGAAAAACCTAATGTTATGAACTCCATCACTAATCGTCTCTATAGGAATCTATTGCAATACCCAGACATTGGGATTAATCCAGTGAATATCAAATGGTGTTAACTGCATTAGAATGAGTTGGTTATGTGCTTGAAGGATGCATGCCGATAACTTCAAAGAGCTATCTTTCATTTAGTTTACTAGCGAATCTTTAAGCATGCTTAAGAATTGTGGTGTAATGCGACAAAAAGTTGTCTGAACGTGAGGCGTTCGAGTAGAAGGAGGTAACATCAAGCGAACTGATAGCTTTGGTAATGACCTCAACGTAAATTCATCTGTCATGACATTATAACTGAAAATGAGAACATCCACATTTCTCTGTAAGTGGTGTTGGCAGTGGAGTCTTATTCGCATTTTTCACCTTAAAATTCGCAATATAAAGTCCCTACTAATAGCCTCTGCTTATTGTAAGGTTAAGCTATTTTCCGTATCCTTTATAATGCCAAAGGGATTTAGCCAGAAAGTTTAGGTGATTTTCTCATTGTGAGTCGACATACCCAATGGTAGGAAACAGTGGTCTGTGGAATTCTGCCATGTATCTGATAATTATTTTATAATTAAGAACAAAAAGGATTAAATGCTATTTCTGTATTATTATCATAAGCTGTTAGCAATCCAAACTCACGAATATGGTTGTTTATGAAATGCATCCATCATTATGCCCCCCACAAGTGACTTGATTTAGTATAGGTAGAGGAGTTTTTGGCCGAAAACTTTAATTCTCTTGTCCTAAACATCCATTCTTCAATTCGTACTATGCGAATAATTTAACGTAGCTGTAGGCGGATTTATTGACAGTTTCAGCTTTTGATAAAAAGGTAATTTCCCATTAACACTGAACTATTTATATCAAATCCGTTTATAGAAGGGAAATTTTATCGATGAACTGACTCTACAGTTGAGACTATTTGAGTAGTTAAAAATAAATTATTCATATATTTCTACCAAAGAGAATGGCTGTGTAATACCAGTAGCCCTTAAGCCCCTCCGTATGTCGACAATGCATATTCTGCCCACGTATTACGCCTTCTTTCGTCTTTAGGGAAGACCCGGAACGCTGCAGGCTGGTTTTACCCCAATAGTACGATTGTTATAGTTGTACATTAAATTTGTACTTGCGGTTATTCTACTCACCTAGGACCTCTATCCCCCAAACCAAAAGCACATAACACCTAACCTTTTGTTCAATATGGCCATAAAGTCAATGAAGAAAATTTTAGCCTTGTTTTTTTTCTAATAAAATGGGGATTGTAATGTGTTGAAAGGCGGAAAGGATGAGGTTAATGTGGATATCTGCTCCAGAACGAATTAAATACCGCTAATTGACATCTTTATGCAGACGTCAGTGGCACCAATTCAACTGATCAAAACGATGAACTTCATGCTCTGTTACTACTTTGTCAAAGGTGCCAAAGCTGTTTCCCTAATTATCCTCTTGATAAACAAAATGTACGTTGACAGCCAATGTGTGTTTTCGCCGAAAATATGCGGAAGGTGATATAAATCAAGCAAAATTAAGGTTGTGTATTTTAGATGGTTTATCCTTTCTTCAAAGCACAATTTTGTACGCAAAACCACAGAGACTTGTGAAAATATGTAACCCCGAAGACCACGTACAAAAGATGTTGGGTTGTTCCAGTCATTTTGTTGTGCTTCCACACTAAAAACATTGGTGAAACTATTTAAACAAAGGCCACCGAAACAATCGAAGACCAGGTAAGCGACTTACGAAAATCTACTTAAAGTAGGGACTATTCAAAAGATGTATCATCAGGTCAAGTAAACAAAGCTATACGTCTTGAAACAGGTGAACTCCCCCACTGCTCAGATAGAAGTATCTCCGCAAAACATTTTTATAACTTTGGATAAATGTTAGTGAGGTGTGTAGGCTGATCCTAACCAAGAATTTGCAACGCAAGATTTTCGGAGCAGGGGGGAGGGATCTTGATCAAAATCGCGCATTAAAATAAACATTTTTTAGATGTGTCATATAATATGACTGTATACCCAATGGAGTCGGTCAAAAGGCATAACTATATTTATGTTGACTCACGCAGGCAGAATCGACTATAACATTCACTAACGAGTGCTGATATAAATTACGCAAGTAATTCGTCTAAAGTAGGCAACAAAAGCAGTATAAATAACCCCAAATAATAAAATATTTGAGCAATCTTCTTTTAAAACTCAAACTATTGAGAATTTGCTCACATTTCAATAGACCTACTCTTCAATCCTCACTCCTCATTTCAAACGATCAAACACATGCCCAATAATTCCACTCCAGTGACCTCACGGTGACGGTATGTTTGGTTTCATTGAGATTAAGCTGCCATTTACCCCAATAAAAACAAATATCAATTTAACTAACATTGTGTCAAGTAAAACTAGTATCTTCCGCCCCATTTTTCTTACTTTTAGGTTAAATCCTAGGCCATGAACAAAGTTGGTGAATCTGCTTGCAGATCTTGGAAATTTACAGCCTTTATTTGTGCTTGCCATAAAGTAGTTCTTACAAATCAAATAAGTGGGGCTCTAAGCAGCCGATGCAACTGCAGTCTATTCCGCATGGTAGATGTTGTTGATACTTAGGCGGAGTATAGCACTTGCCTTTATCTGATAGGAGGTGAATTGGTCTGGGAAATGCATTACCGCAGAGTTCACATGATTCTCACGTCACTCCCTCCTGCTTGAATGGAATCACTCGAAAGCATCATTAGCTCCACCTCATTTGAATAAATCTCGACGGGTATCTCAGCATTCATACCTCTATTGAACGGCATTTTTGCTCTTGACACTTCGTTCGATGCATTGAGTAAAGGTTTCTTAAAATGTAGTAAAACTTTAAACAAAATCAAAGGAAGTTATTGACCACTTTCCGGGAAGAGAGTGGTTAAATGAGTGCCTTTAAACCTGTTTGCTGGTAACGCAATGTCATTCGTAGGCTGTCCACTAAAATAGGTCTATTTAAAACTGCACTTTTAACGTTCAATTTATCTAATTCACCACCCAGATGATTCTCCTCAATCACCACTGCGATATTGCCCTATAAAAAAACTATGGTAGCTGGCATCCCGACGCACCTTTGATGAAAGCTATGATCTTGCACTAGGCTTTAATCTGACTTATTTTTGGAAAAAGTTTTCTTGACAGTTTAAGGTCGGGATTGAATGAACTTAACCCACAACCAGATCATCACATTTTTAGGTCATTGTTACTGTCGCCATCTCGAATTCGCGCAGCAGACTGTATGAGCTGCAAATGAGTTAACATTGCTGCCGAAAATGACACATTCAAGAGCCTAGCAAATGAGGCTCAGAAAAGGCGCAAAGGGTTTAAAAGTAGACTTATTAATCGCCTTTGGGATGATAGATTCCATTAGCAAAAAACTCTTTGGTGTGTGGTTATCATCGTGCATTTTATTACCTCTTTTTTATGCATGAAATGTGATAGGCCATCGATCTTGCCTCCTGATGCATGCTGACTTAGAAAGGGCCAAATAGTAACATATTTGTATCTAACTTCCGAGGCGTGCGACAAGAACTTGCGAAGCACCGATTTCATCTTTGTTGAAGTTCATTCCCCTTTTATCTATGTGAAACAATGGTGTGGAATCATTTGAGTCAGGCCAAACGAAAACCTTGAGATTGCTTGATGGATGCATTACTCAAATGCCCTTCATTCGTAACCACCATTTATGACAATTAAGCCTTCAGTTGCACTGCCAAAAGAGGCTGTTCTATATTAGTGGATTATTGCTAGTCAAATCAAGAGCAGCTTAAAGTTACCAGTATTATGTAAAGCCTTTTGTATGAACAATTCGGCAATCAGGTGTTACGTTTTTATCATTTAATTTCAGCTTTCTCGATAATTTGCCAACAATTTTTAGGTTCATGTGATCTCTCCAAATTTTCATCTGCTTATTTATTGTTGGTTAAGAAAGAACGTTAGAAATGGTAAGCATCAGCCAATGCGATCCATTTCGAACATCAAATGAGCTTTGATACTCGGCTAGTTTCTTTGTGAGTGAACTAGATGAAATATTGTAGCAGCATCGAAGTTTACCACATACGACCTTTTAGGTACCGTGGAAGTCTTGGATTCACCATTCCAGTTTTTGTTTGTGCGAATATATTTGAAGTGTACCTTAGCCCGTAAAAATCATGGGAATAATTCTCCACAACTTTCAAGCAATCTTTCAAAGGTCAACCCAGCGGATCTTGTGCCCCGAATCCATCCCCTTCCTCTGTCATTTTACCTGCAGCAGTAGGAAAGCCAGCCTCTCAAAATATTGTCTTGGTTTACGGTGCCGAATTGCTACATGTTCCAGCACGATGCCTCCATTCTAATGTGAATGAAGAGAGCCCGAAATTACGCAATAATTTTATTACTGAAAAGATAGGTAAGCAATCGAGGTGAATGAGGCGCGTTTAAGAGCAAAGAGTGAGAGAGAGAGTCCTTCACTTATTTTAAATGCGCAAAAGACCAAAATAGATACGTATAAGTGGCATTTTGAAGACAAATGAAAAATAAATCTAACATCGCCTTTGTCGAATGCTTCACGAACAGTATGTGAGATATTATCATTGAAGAATAACTAATTCAGGTCAATTGGGGATAAGGGTGAGATGGTGAAAAATCCATTCATTTGTCCAGATGACAACGAGAATGCGTTTACATAGGTACATACATACACGTGTAAGAAAATATATTTGCCAAATGGGTGCCAGAAACGAGGCAAAAGAAATAAAACAAAGGATGCTCAAAATAGCCTACGTAAGTTTTCAATAAACAGACTGGAAGAATCTTCGGATTCGTGAGCAACTAGCCGCCCAGCGGCCTTTTTGGTCTAGGGATTTCGTTGTCTTTACTAGCTCTCTTCTAATATAAGAAAAGGTAACCGTACAGCAAAGCACAAATAAACATCCCAAAAAAAAGAGTCTAACCGCTTTACTGCGGCGGAGGAGGAGGTGGAGGTGGCTGTGGTGGGGGCGGCGGTTGGTACATGCTATAGGTTTCGCTTTGGCTATAGCTGGTATCACTACTGGCGCCGCTCAGCTCGATCTGCTGAAACGATGCTTGACTCTGCAACCCAGAAGCGAGGGCAGACTGCTGGGACTGCTGAGGTGTCAGGGGTTTGCGCAGTTGGTATTTAGCACTGGGTCTCCGTCCGCGCGTGCTCGTACTGGGCCGCGGATTCGTGTGAGTTTTCACGTGGCGCGAGCGTTCATCTGAGCGCGCGAAGCAGCGCTCACAGTACTGACAGGGATAGGGTTTCTCTCCGGTGTGCGTTCGTCTATGCGTAATCAGGTGGTCACTGCGTGTAAAGCCCTTGTCGCAAATATTGCACGTGTACGGTCGGATGTCACTGTGCGTCCGCTGGTGTCTCTTTAGTTCATCTACCCGGGCAAAGCGCTTTTCACAGCCCTCTGCGTTGCAGACAAATTGCTTCTCCCTCGATACAGTTGACGTTGAGGGTGTGGGAAGGCTTCGACGAGGGTGAATAGTGAGGCTAGAGCAACTAGAGCGTCGTATCTCATCAGGAAATTTAAAGGACTCCTGTTTGATGAAGGAGTAGCCTGGTGTCAATGCTTGGCCTGCCGCAGCAGCTGGAGCATGCGCACTACTGCTGCTACTGATTGGTAAGACATCGCAGCAGGAAAGCGTTTGAGGTACACTGACACTACGACGATTGACGAGAACTTCAAACCGATCACAGGATGATGGGGACTGGTCAAAGCTTGCGTGTGTTCCCGGTCGCATTGGCTGCAAAGGTGTATAAACAGGAGTAGAAGTGGGGATATTTGCTGGAAGAAGGGGGGTGTCTGTCTGTAAAACGAGTTGAGGAGTTGTGCTCGATACTCCTATAGAAGGAAGTGAAAATGAGCATTGAAAGTAATAAGGGTTAGAAGATCCGAGTTCCATATAATCGATCGCCTGAGGATAGGAGGCTCGAGCAAAGGGAATTTGGCTTTGAGTCTGCTGTGGATAGCATTGAACACGATGCGTATCGCTCGAAGGATAGGACTCGCGCACTAGTTGCTGGGGGCACGTTTGAGAAATATCGAAACTCTCCGGTCTTTGTGTGACCACTTGAGTGTCTGTCGTTGTCGCGGGGTTCATTGCGGCAGTTGAGGAAGAAGCACCTAGAAAGTGGAAACGAATACATACCAAAAGGTAAGCTCTGTTGGTATTTTACAAAGTAAACTCATTATTTTTCTGATTAGAAAATCTTAGGACTTGAATTTTGAATGTGAAGTGCGTTATTCGGTGCAAAATAACTATAAAAAGTTGACAACCTCTCAAGTTTTATGCTAATATATCAATCCTCTTGTTTAATAGATCATGATGATAATCAAATTTTTAGCATAATTTGGAAACTTCACCGCAAAGAACTCTTTTGAAAAATTAGAAGCTTAACGGAAATTGGGAAAAGCTGCACACTCGTTACACACAGTTGACAAATGTAGCATGCGGGAGCATTGAAGGGTACATCGATGCAGTGCATCGCAAGGAGTACCGAGGCGTGCCGTGCTAGCCGATTGGTTTTCTACCGCCCACGCGAAATTGATCCTCAAATTGAAAGCATACTGTCAGACACAGGATGTTGATATATCTGTTTAGGAAAGTCGTTAAGTCCCAAAAGTCTTCTTTATTTTAATTGTAAGGGGATTACATACTCACACAGGGACTAGGATGGAAGATAGTAGTGACTGGAACCAATTTTAACATTGTGAGCAACAGTGGTGACCTATTCAATTCAATGATAAACCAAGAATGCTACAACCATCAAAATACAATATGAATGCTGTACGATTGTAGCACCATTAGTGACAAAACATCTGTAATTCGAATTCCCTAGCTAATTTACAATGCTGGTAATTCGGCAATTATCGAGACTTCTTTTGTTAATGTTTAGGTGGGAAAGAATACAATTTGCCACGACAATTTAAATAAGGAACACAATCTAACTTTCCAATTAGCGCTTTGTCTGAAGTGAACAAATGAAGTTAATGGCAATTGGACTTCTCTTTCCCTTAAAAACTACCAAATGAAAGGATCAGTGGAAGTGTTGGTAAACGATTTTCCTACCGAATTCTGTGTTGTGGTTACAGCTTTCAAAAGAGATATTATTTGATGATTAATAATAATTACGACCTCGTGAAGTGCGTTCGATGGCGATGACCTGAATACATATTCAGGATGTTGGCTAAAAATTGGGATCGGCGCCTGAAAAGTAGTGTCGCAGATGAATGCGCAAATCGGAAGAGCACTACCTCGCACATCAGCGTTGATTAGACGTCAAGTGCAATTTACTGAGGAATGCAAGGATTTTTTTGAAATAATATTTTTCGACCCAAAGGTAAGAGATACTGGTAGGGTTTCGATCATCTACACCTGCTGGTTTTTTGACAGAATTGCCATACTAAAGGAAGTAGGTAGATATTCCGGGTAGCGCATGTGATATGCGATCCTTGAATATGCTCTCGTGCTGAGTCCTACATTTCTCTTCTCACAATCCAGTAAATTTGGGTGTCTGCGTCTGAAAAAATCACATTACTGTCGGATTTCTTACATATAAGCGACCTTGAAGTTGTTGATTTGCCTGTGAAAGAAGGCAGGCAATGAAGTACGTTAACGACCTTGTAATACATCATGCTTCCATTTTGATAAAATTGTTAGTTAAATATGCATTTGAAATTGTCAAATTAACGAATCAAATGGGAGCGGCTAGCTTATTTACAATACAACTAGCTCACATTAAAGAGCTTGAAATGCTGAGGCTTCTATGACTGTCTTTATAGATCGGAAAGGTAAATCAATTAGGCACTTGTCGGATGACATCGAAATGCAGCATTTACTAAACATCTAAGTCAAATTTTATAATTCGATTTATGTAGATTAAAAAAGCATTTAGTGTTTCAGTGATCTCTTTGGTTCAGGATCCTTGAAAATAAGCAGGATCTGTCGTCCGTAGCTTGAGAGTCACTTAGTGCCCGTTTTGCATTTCATGGGATAATAGCTGTTAAAATGAGAACCCGGCATACATTTTTGCTCTATTCTTTTGCAGACGCCGATTTTATATGGTTGATTTAACACAAAAATACTTTCAAAAAGTAAGCAGAAGTGGTCTGTTTAGAAATAGGACCTTGGAACCTGAGTTTTCCTTTGAAAAAGATGATTGACCACGCGTATGTATTTGGGAAACAGGCCACATCTTTCGTACTTTGAGAGGTCGCGTGAATAAATTTTTTTTCCTGATCTCCATAATGCTTTGTCACCTTACTTTGCTATCGGAGGCGGAATTGCATTCGAATAGGAATACCTTTAAGCACAACTTCAGTCTAAACTATGCATGATAGTCGACAGAGTTAATCACATGAAATTCATGCAATACATATATTATTTATGAAACGCTAGCCACGTTACCGTTTTTGCAATCAGTACTCCAAAAGGCCTTCTGAAGTGGCTAGAAATGCAAAATGCTTAATTGAATGTTTGCCAGACGGTGATTGAGGAGGTTGTTGGGCAACCTCGTGCTGCTACCATAGGAGTTTGAGGTTTTCTACAGTTCCGTTTCCTATTTCATCTATTTGACTGCTTGTTCATCATTTCTGAACGAAAGACTCCACTGGACATGAAACGCTCCCATTAAATTTATATATTCTAAAAAATGTGCCAAACATGATACACAAAGCGCTGTGACTCTAGCTTCTCTGAATAAAGCACAGCTGTGGACATTTTAAAGTAATTTATAAAAGCCACCTCATGAAATGTGTACCATGGAAGATTGTAAAACACAGCGAGCGTTGGTACATACCTCCTTCCTTAAAATAAGCCCGTTATTCCCATTTTGCACACCTTGAATGGACTAGACTGTGTTAAATTCATATTGAACATAGACACTTTAGAAATTCTCTGCTAGTGATATATTTATCAGCATACCAAACGGGTTTTGTTATTTACTTAGAATTACAAAAATAAAATGCCCTCATTATAGTTGAGCAATAGTGCTGTAGCTTTCAACACAAAAACCTAATTTTCATTCCCCAATAATAACGTAGATGGGAGCGACCCACTCAAACTTCATTTTTTTGTTTAAATTCAATATTTGAACCGACGTAAAGACCCACTCGTGACCAAAAATAATAAAAGCACTATCTTTAACTAGTTTCAATTTTCTTAATTACTATTTCGGAAAGAGAAATACTTCCATTAAAAAGGTCTGCGAGCTAAGGCGAACTATCAAATGGAACACGTGCCGGCCCGCCCACGCAAAATCCACAAGGTCAGACGGCAGACAGCACGTCTTGTAGGGATTTAAGTCTTTTCCCCTAACTAAAATACCCTTTTAAGTTCGACTAATATCATATCCGTTTGTATCGTGCTTTAATAAGTCTCACGGACAATTCACCACGTAGTTACAAATACACTTCCGAATTCTGCAGTCTTGGTGAGATCTTAGTAGGAAAAACCAACTGTTAAAGATTTAATGGGCATTGGCAATTGAACATAAATGGTAAAAATAATTCAAAGGTATAAAGGGGGACATATCATAAAGCAAAGAAGAAAACAATATGTTAGTCATTGAGATGAATGAACAAGAGATATGGAGACACTTACTAGGGTCGAATCTAGTATAGGCCATAAGGTCAGCTGACTTGATCGGAGTTGGTGTGTCGAGGTTTTCATAGTGCGAGAAATCGTGGGCGATATCACTGGCAGTGGCGGTAGTTGTTGGTGTGTATCCTGTTTTTATATCAGATAGAGGCGGTGGATCCTGCTCCATGGCCTCTATGTCGTCAAGTTTGGGCTGCACTCCCATCTTCCTTATAAGAAGAGCTTGCGACATATGTGCTTATGCCCTTAAGAATGGCCAACTGCTGTGTTATCATCCTCAAATGCAAGGACCAATGAGGTCTCTCATGTGCACCGCAGCTGTCAGTAACACTAAAATTAGTAGGTAGTCAGACCAATCTGCGATCCACCTCTTGAATCAGCCGGGATGCAGCCATTTAGCTTTGGCTATTACACCCAGTTGTCGTCAAGCTTGTCATTACAACGCACGTGTATGCCGCATGTCAAGGCAGCCAATGGAGAGGACGAATGAAAATTATTCGCTGAGGGTAGCCAATGAGAGAGGCGCGTCTGGACTGGTTGGCACTTTCATAAATGATTTACAAAGGGAGATGAAAATACGTAGCCAATTTTTCCAATGATATTTCTATAATTTTCATGGATTTTATTAAAACATTAGTCTTCTAGGTTTATAAATAGAATAAAGTTCCACACAGAGAAACAATAGGAATTTGATGAATATGCATTGCGTTTTCTATAATTTATATTATCTATTCTTCTGTTAGAACAAGAGGATGGAGACACATTTAGGTTTATTATGTAAAAATAACAGCCGGTATCTTTGTGACTCTTCTGGCAAGCAGATCTAAGTGACGTGGATGGCGTATTTTATGAAGATTAGTGTAGAGGGATAACGAGGGTGAAGCGTTTACAAAACACTATTGAGTGCTGTTGCCGTTATACTAAAAAGAGCATGTAACTAAATGCTTCAAATGAAATTTTGGCAATGTCGTGAGCAATGCTATTCATGTGTAATACTTACAATTATTATTATTTCTCCAGTATGAGTTAAAAAATGGATAATCTACCGCCAAGAATGATTGTTGAATATTCAAGACTGCCACAATTATTTGTGCACCACTTTGACACGTTCTGATTCTAAATGAGAAAACAGTATGTGATTGCACCGTGCAAACCAGGTGAGCAAGAATAGTAGGGTTTTAACTACACGATTGATAATCCATGGGTTGTGCAGCCCCAAAAAAGGGTCTTATAGTAGTCGAGTCCTTTTCGTCACTTTAACTCCTATTTCCTTCCACTTAATTGGCTGTCTACAAATGTGCATAAGAAATGAGTCGCCGAATTCACTCTTCATTTTAACTCATCACTTGTGGATTGTCCGCCTGGCAACCATGCAATAATATTGTTGAATGTTTAAATCTAACTTCAAATTGATTTATTTGAATAAAAAGGGCAATGTTTTTAATGACAGGCGACTTTAACTAATTCGCGGTGGTGAACACTTTAAGGTATATTAACATGAAGATCCAAAATTTGACATATATGTATGTGTATATACGTATTAAAACTCGTCTATGTCGATAATCTCAAATGGCATCCGACGCATACACAAGGTGCAATTGAAACAATTGTTGGGAAGACACCTGAACACACTATAAGTGTGTTTGAGTTGTTACCTCACCTTTCTTCCCACGCATCTGGATTTGTGAGGGAAGTAGGTGATCATTGGCGAATCGTGCACAGGTTCTTGACATGTATTTGGGTATGGGAACAACATAATAAAAGAATCAGAGGCCCAATTAAAGTAGTTCATATATTTGTCAGAATCCATTAAATTACTAATATTAATTAATCACTGATATAAAATTGCTATCAACACGTCCCTGTTCGTTACTTTTGGCTTTGGAATTTCAAACTGGTCATTTATTTTTAGGACACAAGCTTCTTTCAAATCGTCAAATTTAAATTGTGCCCTATTATTTGACGTAGCTTACTCACATTTCAATTACTGTCTAGTTGAATAGACAAATGAGTAGGTAATTATTTTTCATATCTTTAACTGTTTAAAGAATAATTGCAAGTGTAAGGTGTACTTCGCGAAGGCTAGTGCCACTCCGATAACCTAAGGATTACTTTTCGATGTTCTCCACACGAAGCCAACTCTTTCTAACTAAATGCAGTTATTTAGTCAGTCGGGAGATCCAGGACTGAGGATGGCAGTTTGTGCAAAATTTCACCCGCTAAAGTCGATGGACGAGCACAAGGAGAAGTGAGGAAGGCGTGAGCAGACGTACCTAAAGCGCGAGGCTAGCGGTGGTGTCCTGTACGGTCACTATTTTAAGTAGAGCGCGGGGGCGGATAATTTGTGGAATGAAGATGCAAACACAGAAAAGATAAATGAGCAGTCTGTCATAATAAAATTTGGGAGTAGAGGCACTAACAGACGAAACTGTATTATAAGTAAGGCACGACTACATAGGTTTGGTAATCGTACATATTGTTAAAAACCACATAAAATGATGAGTTCCATAAAAAAAGTGAAAATTTAACATTATCTGATGGCATTGCTTGCCAAAACCTCCATTTATGTATGCTTTTCGATGGTTAAAATGCATTAACGAAGGCTAAATGTCTCCGCTACAGCAGCACTCTGTCCTCCGCTTTCTTGCCCTCTCCCAAAGCTCGGTTCTTACATAACACAAGACAACTTCAATTGTGCTACAAGGCAGCAGTTTCAATCAGCAAAAACCGCTATTTAATGCGTCGATTAAAAATTTTATAGGCTGATATTCTCATTCGAGTT